CTAAAGCATAATCAGGCTACAGCCGTTGTGTATTTTATTATGTGACGCACTAAATGGTCTTAGAAAAATATCGACTCTTTGTACTACAGCAAATAAAGAGAGTAATGTAGGCCTGTTATACTGAGTGATATCGTACACTGCTCTGCTTTCTGCACGGACCTCACAGCTGTTCTCACTGTAAACATCGCAACGCGATGAAAGCAGTTTCTAAAATAATATCCAGAGGATGCATGCAGAGCTGTCATTGGCTGAGATAAGTCCGGCCGTGCGTCACGCCTCCACCGTTCCCGGAAATGCATCCGCGGAGGAGCCGTGGAGGAACCATCAGTGTATCCTCGGTTATAGCTCCTCCAGAGAGCCTCCTCGACGCTCGATGCTCGGTCCTCGGTGTGCATTTAGAGAAATGAGACGTCCTTCAAAATGGCGCGCTGAAATTCATTTCCGGGTCACTACCGGAGGACCGAGGACCGAGGAGTCGAGGAGGGGAAATTTGAGTATTGAGAAGCCTCTACTCAGAGCTCACAGCTCCTCATATCTGTTCAGAAACTGGACAAAAGTTAAACATATACAAAACACAGACTGTCTATGTCATTTTGAATACAGTCGCTGCTTTATTTATGTCTGTATGTATGACGTTGTTGTGAATGTGGACGGAGCAGCTACAGTTTAGTTAGCCTGATCGATCCGATTCCGATAGGATTTACATGGAGATACGGCCCGCCCCCTCTCCAGCGTCTTGTTTGAATAACAGGAGTAAACACAGAATTAATGCTTTATTAATTCATGGTTTTTAAGGGGCTTATCTCCATGTAAATACTATGGTAGACCACCCAATATTCGCATCGCTCGAGTTTCACCGCGGCTGTCAGCTGTGTTTGCTCCTGTCATTCAAACAAGAGGCGCTGGAGGCGTATCTCCATGTAAATCAACTACAACAAAATGAACATATTTGACCGTGATTTAATTGTAATACACGTTTCAAAGTGATGCCGAAGTAACTACATACTGATAACGGTTAGTAAAAACCATGAATTAACGCTTTGACAAGTCTGCAGATAAGACGGCATGCGAAAAGCTTTTAAAATGCGTGTTTTCTGAATGGAATCGGACCCATCAGGCTAAACTAACCTCCGTCCACACTCACAACAACGTCATACAGACATAAATAAAGCAACAACTGTATTCGCCATGACATAGACAGTCTGTGGTTTGTACATGTTTAACTTGTGTCCAGTTTCTGAACAGATATGAGGAGCTGTGAGCTCTGAGTGTGTGCTAAGTGCTAACGGCTGATGTGTTGGGACATATTTCGCTGTCGGGTGTTGACCAATCACGAAGCGTCATTTCTTGACTGGCAGCAAAAACAACCAATCACAGCAGTGCTTCTCTGGCTGGCTCTGTCCAATCACAAACAAGAAGTGTTCTCCCTAAAGGAATACCCTTTCCGTCCAATGTGAAATGCTGTGGTGTTTTTCTGAAATGCTGTGGTGTTTTCTGAAATGCTGTGGTGTTTTCTGAAATGCTGCGGTGTTTTCTGAAATGCTGCGGTGTTTTCTGAAATACTGTGGTGTTTTCTGAAATACTGTGGTGTTTTCTGAAATGCTGCGGTGTTTTCTGAAATGCTGTTGTGTTTTCTGAAATGCTGTGGCGTTTTCTGAAATGCTGTGGTGTCTTGCACTTCAGGGCCACCGTACGAATCAACACTACAGCGTGCAAATGACCAAAGTGGTTCAACACATCTTTAAACAGATCACAGAACAGGTGCAATAAAAACAGAATACGATAACATTCATGAAGGAATTGATGTATTCTAGTTTAAGCTAGGTGTAGGCCTACTTAACAAAGTGCAAATTAGTGGGCTTTCTTCTGAGGACGGCCAGAGGACGACAGTTTTCATGGTGGGTTAAAGTTGTCAAGTATTAGAGAGTAATGTACTTGACTTCGTCTTAATTTCAGATGTGATGTGGTTTAATAATGATAAGCAAAAGACTTAATCAAAAAGTGTCTTTACCTCGACATGAACACGACCATCGTCACCTGGTGTGGAAACACTCTGAATGGCGATACTGCCCTCTAGTGGCAAAACCCAGTAATGGAGACAGTGAAATAAATCTGTAAATAATCTTTATCTTGTGTTTTTTTTTTAATGTATGTAATATGTAGGGAATAACCTGATTGTTAATGCAACTTCAACCCTTGATGAGGTGACCAATATTTTATTAAAATGAGAGAAAAAGAAGAGGATGTGATTTAAAATAACATGTTTCTAAACTGATATCCTGTTGTCTTGACTAAGTTATTTTTGTATGTACCATGCTACAGGATGCATTATTTATGTTTGCTTACCTCAGAAGCAGTAGTGGAATTTAACAAAGTACATGTACTTAAGTATTTAAGTGTTAACGTTCTTGTACATTAATTGAGTATTTGTATACTTCCCTACGTTTTGAGAGGCACTATTGTACTTTTTGTCCTCTACAATTGTCAGACAGTTTTAGTTCATTTTTATACAAAACAGATTCACATTATAAGCTAATACAAATACAATTATAAATAAACATTAATATATATTTATAGGTTAACATAGCCAGCAGCAGTATATATAAAGTATTTAAAATAAGCTCCACAATGACCAGCTGTGATGAATGCATTAATGCATCAATAATCACAATCCAGTCATTAAATATATATCATTCTGCATAACGTGTACTTTTACTTAAGTATATTTTGATACCAATACTTCGGTACTATTATGCATTGCTATTTTAACCTTAGTATAACATCTGAGTACCTCTTCCACCTCTGCTTAAAAGACTCCATGAATACTAGCTTTTAATTTCATTATTACTGCTATCTTCTCTCCAGCAGGTGGAGTTATCTCACTTTAAGTAACTCCATCTCCATCAGTGGAGCTGGATTCTTTTATAAGAAGCTTCACGAATATTGTAATATGTATAATTATACAACAATACAAGTGTCAGCTGAAATGTAATTTATTTATTTAGCTGTTGTATGTGATTCCAGTTCATTGTATGCTCACTGAACACGCTCCTCGTTCTGATGGCAGCTATTTGCATAAAAGTAATAGACTCAGCCGCAGCCTTTTGTGATTCATTCAGCTCTCAGTGACACTCGTGTGATTATGAGCCCTCAGCCTCAATATCATTATTAAACTCGCAAATGATGACTTGAATGAGTGGGGTGGGATAAAAAAAAGAGTGCCTCGCAAATTACAGCTATTGTATGCATTTGTCAGTTATCAATGGCACATTTCTCCTTAAGTCACCATGGGATCATTACAATAAAGAACAATAAGAAAGATGCTGTTGAGACTTCGGTGAAATAGATTCAAGGGATTTTGGCTTCTTTACAGGAAACATGGAAACACACAATACTTATTTTGTCATCATAACAATTGATTTGTGGCTCAGAGCAAGAGGCCCTATTCTACTTTTTGGGGTTTTCCATTTCCTGTAATGTGTTTTATATGTTTTCGTGCATGTGAATGGTCCGCAAAGGCTAAAATCCCAAAGCTTTCTCTCCCACACACTTGGCCCGAAACCCCATAATAGGGCCCCTTTAAAACAGTTTTCGTAAAAATATGCCAATATACAGTGTAAGATTATTATTGGTGGAAAAGTGTAAACTATTTTAAGAGCGCTCCATTTGTGTAATCTTACCATCATGTCTTCTGTTTTATGCAAACATACACTCAGTGTAGTCATCAATAATCCTTCCCTTTACAAGCATGATATAATTGTCCATGTCCATCATATCGGGGTGGTGAATGGATCTGATTGGATTAAAAGTTGGTGTGATATTCACATCACATAAATGAGAGTGACAACCATTGAGAACACCTATTTCATTGGCTGATAACATTCAAACCAGGTGACCACTATGAATCATAACTGGACAATTATATCATGTAATGGCTGCTAATTATATCACTTGTCTGAATTAATATTCCACATTAGTGTCTGTGTCAACCAGCCCTGCACTAAATTCATTTCACTATACATCCTTCAGAGCAGCATGATCTCATAGTTACTGAAATACGCTCAGGTTATCAAAACATGTCATCCTCGTTTATGGAAACACTGCAGTCATATTTCTAAATCACTGGTTAACCGCAGGCATTCACACTGCCTGCTTGCAGCCAGTCTTAAAGCAATAACAGCAAGCAGTGTCTGTCCTGTTATCTTTTCCAGTGGGTGAGTTGTCTGTGGGGATCACACTGTGTGTCTTTCTGTGTTTGTGGACATCAGTTATATAATGATGAGTAAACAGAGCTTTCGCCTCTGACAGCATCTGTTGGTTGAGATGCCAAGTGATGGGCAACATGTCAGGAAGGAGCTGTTTGCACTGCAGCAGCTGGCTTTTCTTAGATAACAAATTCATTATCTCCGCATGACGTGTACCTTCGTTACGTAGCCCGATATGTATGTGCTATTGTGTTTTTTATGGTGTTGTTAAGGTGCATGCTACACAACGAGTTCACTTCTTTAAAGGGCCCTATTATGTTTATTTTCAGGTTCCTATTTGTATGTTGTGCCTCTACTGTGACATGTCTCCATGCTTTATTGATCAAAAAGCTCTTTATTTTTCTCACACTGCCTGTGCTGCAGCACCTCTTTTCACCCTCTGTCTGAAACCAGAGCCCAGTCTGCTCTGATTGGTTAGCTGGCCGGCTCAATTGTGATTGGTCACAGCTTAAAGGTGTCCCGTCACTTAGCCTATCACATACAATGTGTTGGAGTGCTAGCTAATAGATGCTTGAGTGTAATAGTGATGTCACTATGTTGAGGAAGTAGAGTACAATGGAGGCGTTTCCCTCTGGATGGCACAGGGATTTTAACCTTTGCCGACCATTTGCACAAAAACCTATTCAACACAGGAAAGGGAAAAGCCCAAAAAGCATAATAGCCTTTAAATCCTCACCAAGGTTCTTGAACAGAAACATCACATACAGCTGATGATCAAATAACATTTCAGCTTTATTTATAAAAAGGAAAGATGCCACAACATGTATTGACGCCTGCAGCAACAACGACACATAATAATAATTTGTTCTTGAATACCCATCTGGACACAACAGATTACTCACTCAGCAGCGGATGCAAGCATTTAAAAGCAAAAATGATAACACTTCTCTTAAAGCGCGTGAAAAAAACACATGGATGGTTATTTAGTTTACACAGGAACAGCTTTCATGACTCAGAGAAGCTTGGAGGTTGATAAGTACTAACCACAGTCGATCCAGTGGGTGTTTTAAAAGAGAAGTACGCAAACTGGCACTTTAATTAAGGTATCATCTCCTGTTTCTGGCAATGTACACCCTGGGATTTAGCAATACACGTTCAACAACAAACTGGAACACATCGAAGAAGCTACAATCAGAGAGGTTTAGCGCATCACATTTTACTCTGCAGTCTTGGACATTCATCAGGGTCTTTTTTTTTCCTCTTTAAAAATGGCAGTCAAACCCAACATGTCCATCCTTGAAATGTAAACACTTGTTTGTAATTGCACTGTGCTATAGTCACTTTTATGACAAAGCCTACCATTTTATAGATGTCCCAACATTTTATCTTTACACGGTCGACGTTATTTCCATCACTTCATTTTTTTAATTTGCTGCTACACATTTTGTATCCATGGTTTGTGTACGTATTTCTATTCTATGTGTGCTTTTCTTTTTCATTATTGCTTGCCTTTTTTACCTGCTGGGCCACTTCTGCTGTTACACTGTCAATGTTCCTCTTCTGGGGAACTAATAAACGAATTCTGATTCTGTTAACAGCAACAAATAAAGCAAACATCAATGCTCAGAAGAAAGTCCATGCTATGTAGAGGAAGTGTTCTGCAGCATCTGTGTGGGACTGCTCAGCTTCCTGTCAGAGGTCACGGCGCCCTTATCTCCCGTGACACCCTGGCCTGACATCTCAGACATGTGCAGCTCCCCGGCTCCATCCTGGCAGCCGGCGTCCCCCCCGCGGCTGCAACTGGACTTGTGAGAGGAGCTGGGGGAGTTGGTGGGGCTGAGCTGGACGGCCGTGGTGTCCTGCAGCGTGTGCTCGCTCGTCTCCATCTCAAAAGCTGCCGTCCCCATCCTCATCAGCCCCCACTTCTCGCCTCCTTTAGCCTTGCGGGCCATGTTTGCCGGGGGCCTCCTGCTGCCCACACAGCACCCTGTGAAAAAGCCCAATGCTATCAATAAAAGGAGAGGTCCGATGATGATTGGGGGGTTTCCTGAAGGCATGAAGGTGCCAAAGGCGAAGGCTCCCACCAGGGTGATGTTGATGCCGGCCAGCATGATGCACAGGCCGCAGGCGCAGCACAGGGCCGGGGAGGGCAGGCTCTGATGCAGTAGAGCGCGTCTGGGGGTCTTCTTGGGGGCACATGGTTTGGAGGTTTTTTCAGGTAGCACCATGTCTCGTGAAAAGATTTCTGAGACCCACAAAAGATCAGATGATGACTGAACTCATCGCCTAAGAGAGAGATGAGGGCGACGATGAAGAGGCTGAAAATGGAGGGCAAATGTAAGAAGTTGTAAACGCTTAAAATATTTTTTTATTTTATCTTTAATTTGATTTCAAAAGTTATTCCTAAAATGCTTCAAAACATCTCCATAAATGATTGAATCGCAACAAGTAAGAAACAAAAGACACACATAATGCATGTGGCAATAACATGCACTATGAGCAAAACGGCAGCTATCATTAGAACAGAAAACATAACACTTGAATCACAACTACAATTTTCTTAACTACTGCTGCCAGACATGTACAAATACAAATTGTACAAAGAGACATTTAAAACACACACACAACAACATTGCTTTGCCCTGCTGTCAGTGTCACGTACCTCAGATCAGAGCATCATGTTGTGCAGGAGTCTGTGAGATCTGTCCCTCCTGCAGGTGAGCTGCAGAGTGAGAAGCTGCTCACACACCACAGCTCGTTATAATGAAAATGGACCACTTGGGGTGCTGCAGAGCTCTGAAGCAAACCTTTCTAACCAACAATGGCAAAGAAGTGATTAAGTGGGTGCATGTGTGTACTGAATACATCTACATAGGCCAATGATGCATTGAGGAATATCTGAGCAGTCTGTAGACATTCAAATACACATGGTGGTGTTCATGTGTTATTACTGCTTCTTTAAAAGTAAGATCAAACCATGATAAAAGTATATTTGCTGTTAGCAAGAGAGGAGAGCTCATGCAGGAAAATGCTACCCAGATACTCAGCTAAATGCTGCCGTGATTAAACGCCATATTAAGTTCCAAACCACATCAAGGATTATTTCTGAAACAGTATGGAGTTCAAATGCTTTTTCTCTTGCGGGTTTACCACAAGGTGGGTACCTTTTTTACACATACTCTCTCCAGTACAGGTTAGCTCTGAGTGTTAGCGATGCTTGCTAATGTAAACACAGACCTTTCTAATTTCTAATTTTCCCCTCCTCGACTGTTCTCCTCGACTCCTATCCTCGCATCTTAGTCCCGCCCACAGGTTATGCAAGCGGAGGAGTCAAGGAGGGGAACCGAGGAGAGAGGAGTGGAAGCAACAGGCGTTTAGAGATATCCATTCCAACATGGCGCGCTGAAATCGATTTCCGGGTCACTACCGGAGGACTGAGGAGTCGAGGAGGCGGAAATTAGATGAGAATATTATTACCTCATATTACTTCCCAAACACGTTGCACATTGTTTCTGATTAAAGAATGCACTCCAAAACAAAATGATGGTAATGATTTTGCAACGAACATGTGACACAAACAAGTGGTATCACGTCACGCGTCACTTCAAACGTGATTGCGGTTGCTAAGTGAGTGAAGCTAGAAAGGAAAACATACCCTGTTTGGGTTGAGGATAGAGCAGTCCCTGGTGTTACGTCTCATGTCGCGAGTGTAGTCGTGTGTGGGTGTAATCAGTTTGGGGATGAACAGGGCCCAAACCTCAGTTTACTTCTGCCCGGCCTGGCCCTGCTTGTCTTATTGATGCTCGCGGCCACAAACAGACACGCACGGCACAGGAAACTGTTTTCTTTACTGAATTTGACAGGAACATTTGTGTGCAGTTCAATTTGATTAAACTGCTCCTTGTTTTGACACAATTTAAATGTATAGATCCTAATTCTTAGGCAAAAGTTGTATCTTAGTGACTGTCCACACTTCCCCTGTCATGAACTTAGTTTTTGTGTTTAATGTTTCCTGTTTTATTTTGAAATGTATTTTCTCATTGTGTTTGTTTTGGTTTTACTTCCTGTCTGTGTTTTTTGTCGCCTTTGTTAATGCCCTGATTCTCTCCACCTGTGTGTGATCTTCTCGCTGCCCTTGTGTCTCTACCGTCCCTCAGCTGTGTCTTGGTCATGTAATTAGACCCGTCACTATACACTCCTGTTTTCTACGAATCACAGTCTAAATAGGCTGGTCTGACATCAATCACCTCCAGCTCAACATCAGCAAGACTAAGGAGCTATTGGTGGACTTCAGGAGGAGCAGGAAGAGGCCTGGGAGTGCACTTGAACAATAAACTGGACTGGAGTGACAACACTGATGCTCTCTTCAGGAAGGGACAGAGCCAGCTGTTCTTCCTGAGGAGGCTCAGGTCCTTCAGCACAAGGCTGCTGCAGATGTTCTACCAGTCTGTGGTGGCCAGTGGGCTCTTTTTTGCCGTGGTGTGCTGGGGGGGGAAGACACCAACACAAGGGACACTGACCGGCTGAACAAGCTCGTGAGGAAGGCTAGCTCTGTAGTTGGAGTACAACTGGACAATCTGGAGGAGGTGACATAGGGGAGGACGAGGAGGAAGCTGGACTGCATCCTGTAGAACCCCTCCCCCCCCCCCCCCTCCCTGCAGAGCAACCGAAGATGGTACAACAACAAACAATAACATAACAAACAAATACATGTAAATATATTTTCACTAGCAGGAACCACGCCACAACAATGTGATGTTTGTAAGTTTATTGACGTAACATGTAAATGATGTGAGGGGGTGAAGGGATGGTCTGGGAGGACGAGCTGTGGTCCGTGCAGTGGGAGACTCAGAGTGGGGGTTCCGTCTCCGGCATAATCTGCGTGGGCTGATTACGGGCCCCCAGACGGTACCTGGAATTAGATGTTACACTGTAAAACCTGACAAGTCAATAGAACTCAAACGTTTTGTTGAAACCGATTACATCGACATTTTTGAGTACCTTAACTTAAATGTTTTAAGTTAAAGTATAATCTTATCAATTGAGTTCTATTTACTAGTCATTTTTAAGTGACACAAACATATTGTTTTAAGTTAAAGAAACATGGATATATTAAGTTATTTAAACTAATAATTTTTGTTAACACTGTACATATAAAGATCAAGTATCTTTAACTTAAACATTTTTATATCTCTTCAACTAGCTATTTTGTGAGCACAGTAGATATGAAAATCAGGTAGATTTAACTTAAATATTTGTATTATAAACCCTCTCACTCTAAACCCCAATATGAATTAAAAATGTCAATTGAGTAGTACTCAAAACGGAATGTCGAATACTTAAAACGTTTGTTGAAACCGATTACATCGACATTTTTAGTTAACTGTAACTCAAAATCCCTAAGTTAACATTTTGACTAAACATTAAAAAGCACTTTAACACTGACAATTGAAATGCAAATTACTGTTTTATTAATTGACATAAACTTTACCAAACAATATAGATAAATTATAGCAAATAACTAACTTTTCAATACAAAATAAATTAAACAGTGCTAAGGCCTTGACAAATATCTATGATATATTTTCTTAAAAGTATAAAATAATGGGAAACAGTCCTTCAACTTGAAGCTGAACAGTAACACAGTTTTCAATGAACATATTTAAAGTGCAGGATGTAAACAGAGAACTGTGTGTGTGTGTGTGTGTGTGTGTGTGTGTGTGTGTAATATGTATTGTAAGGTATCAAAATGTATGTGAAAATGTTTTCCATCCTTTAACATTTACAAACAAACTTGAACAGTAACACATTACAATGCATAGAACACATTTAAAGCAGCAGTATGTAAACAGAGAACATTGTGTGTGTGTGTGTGTGTGTGTGTGTGTGTGTGTAAAATATGTATTGTAAGGTATCAAAATGTTGTCCATCCTTTTTTAACATTTACAAACAAACAAACAAACTTGAACAGTAACACATATTACAATGCATACTTCAGATTTAAAGTGTGTGTGTGTGTGTGTGTGTGTGGGGCACAACGCCAGCGTCCAGCCACAAGGGAGTGTGGTGTGTGTGGGGCACAATGCCAGTGTCCAGCCACAAGGGAGTGTGGTGTGTGTGTGTTATATTATAGGATGACTAAAATGTGAGAAGCTCATTTTTTAGGCTCAATACCCTGGGCCTCATGTTCCCTTCATCCAGGCCCATCAATACTTTCTGGATGAAGTCGAAAGTGTTTGCCAACTCTTTCGGGTAACTCAGATGGAGGGCATAGATCAGTGCGAAAAGATGGATGAATGCCTCAGCCAGTGTGGGGAGTTCGATAACTTTGTCCCCCTCTATGACGACAGCGATCTTCTCTGGGCAGAAGAGCGTGGCATTTGTCGACCTGGCACTGATCAGGAGAAGTCCGACCGCGACGTCATCTACTTCTGGATCCTCAGACTGCTCTACCTGATGACAAGAACAGATACACGTTACCTATTACCCCAAATTGCCTTAGCTATCTCAGAAATATGTTTGCTGAAAAATACATCAGTGACATATCACATCAAATAACCTAATGTTTTGTGCATAACGTGGGTTTAAGGAAACGCCTATTCGCATTGCACCAGAAACTTCAGCCTCTAAAATAACCAATCAGTTGACATACATTCTTTCTACAGAAAAAACATGTATAACCTTCATAAGGGTATTATTTATTGCATCACTGTATTAGACTGTGTTACTAGCAGCTAGTTGTACCTAATAAACTGGAAACTGAATATGTATAGTATAATCTCTCCCTACTACACATACAAAAATATATGGGGAACACTAGAGATTATTTTGTATTAAACACTGATGCCGCAGGAAAGAAAGCCCTCTCTTGATTGTGTGTGTGTGTCTGTTTGTGTGTGTCTATGTATGTGTGTGTCTGTGTGTGTTCCTGTGTGTGTGTGTTGTTTGTTTGTATGTGTGTCTGTTCGTGTGTCTATGTATGTGTGTGTCTATGTGTGTCTATGTATGTGTGTGTGTTTTGGGCTGGGTCTTTTGTATGTGATGTGTGTCTGTGTGTATCAATGTGTGTGTGTTTATTGTATGTGTGTGTCTATGTTGTTGTGTGTCTATTGTCTGTATGTGTGTGTCTATGTGTGTGTGTGTGGTGTGTGTGTGTGTGTGTGTTGTGTGTGTGTGTGTGTGTTTGTGTGTGTGTCTGTTTGTGTTATTGTATATTTATAGATAAACTATATTTTTTGCTGATCTGTCACATACATTCAAAACAGTTATTATGCTGACTTACATGCCACAGCCTCAGAAACCTGGAGTCATCCTCATGCAGAAATCCAGGCAGACCACGGAGGACAGCAGCACGTCGGCTATGGACGTCACCTTGATCCTTGAGTGCGAAAACATATCTTTGTTTTACTTTGGATGCTAAACAGCATAGCCACACAACAATTTATATCACAAGGGCTCTTCCATGACTGAAGAGATTAACATTTTGAAGCAATTGAGGCGTCTGTGATCCCACCTGTATCTCATTAGCACAACAACAAGGTGCAATAACATTAACACTGCTGTTCCCTGCCCAAACACAAGTATCTTAATAATAAATCTAAATCTATCAGGCTGACCCCCGCCCCCCAACACACACACAGAAAATCCACTCTAGTATGATAAAACACCAAGAGGCTTAACCGACTCACCTGGAGGTCATAGGCGGTGAAGAGCTGATCCAGAACTTCAGACAATTTTCCTTTGCGTGCCGCCTTCTTCCTGAACAAGCTCAACAGACGGGGGACATGCCGATCCAACTCTGCGTAAAAGTGGTTCTTCAGGTTGAAGTTCGTTATTCTATGAAACTCTGCACAAATCTGCCAAAATATAAAATGACTATTTAATTCAGAGTACAATGTATATGTGGATATGTGGCATTGAAGGAGGAATACACATTAGTACGGTAGTGACAATCTTTGAATGGACAATCCACCATCTCATGTTGTTTTAAATGTGTCCTTAAATGACCAAGAATACTTTTATCATTGAATGCTTGCTTGAACCCACACACAGGACAGATGAATGACACACTTCCCATCTGATTTTCACTAGGCTCAACTGTATGCAACCGTGTTAAATGTAATTTCAATGCATTTACTGACTGAAATGTGCAGATACAGTCATCATAGCAATGGAGTTACTGAGGAACAGTTGCTATGATTCAAGCGATAATGTTCAATTAACTGTGCCCTTATATTAAAGACAGCAGCACAAAGTTTGCATCTCCAAGCCATAGTGTTATCCACACACTACCTCCCCCCCCTAAGCGCACCACAGTTTCGCTGCTCCACTAGCACCCCCCCAAAGCACGTTACACTTTATCCACTGCAAGGCTTACCAGGCTGAAGAAGCCCTTTATCTGCCAGTTGCTCCTAAAGAGAAAAAACATTGAAGGTTAGCTGGGTTGCAAAGTTTTCACAAAATGATCAGAGAAACACTATTTTCGAGCATAAAATGGCGGCAGGCGGCGCGCTTTCTTCTTTTGTTACCGCATGCATGTCTGGGCATGTTTTATTAACTTAGCGGCAAAGAGGATTTAGGTTAATTTTATCCACTAACGCTGTACCATAACCGTGCGTTCTGCATGTTTTGTAAAAGCAAGCTAACTTGAAACCCATTGTAAAATGAATAGTCTAGTATTTCAAGTTAGCTTGCTTTTACAAACATGCAGAACGCACGGTTATGGTAATTGTAGTGGATGAAATGAACTTAAATTCTCTATGCCTCTAAGTTAATAAAATATGACCATACATTGCATGCAGTAACAAAAGAGAAGAAAAAAAACTCCCGCCATTTGCGGTTTGAATTTTCCGGAGAACTTTTGCAACACAAACGTTCCACTTTGAGACATAACTTAAAGCAATATAAAATACTGTCTTACAGGTTTAAATCGTTGTTCAAGTGAGGCAGATATTAAATCTAGGCTAGCTAACAAGAGCTCAAATCAAACTAACACACCATCCGACACAAAGAGCATTAGATGCAGAAATTAATAACAAATCATTTAAATACTGTGCAAAGGCAAGACGTGGTAGCGCGGTCAAATTCCGGCAGTGAGACTCGAGGGCACGGTGGGCAAATTATACTTCTGGAAGTTTGAGTTTGAGTGATTTCATCCGAGAGGAGCTATAATGGCGGACTCAAATGAACGAACGCGGTTGGTGAGAGCAGTGAGGCAAGTCGGGGGCGGAGCACATACGTGATGACGTCAGACAGATTCAGTAAAAACATTTGAGTACAATCCCCAATATGACCCAAAGTGGATGAATACTGTATACACAATATTACAAATCAGTTCATAGTCATCAGAACATTTGCGGTGAAATAACTTTTATAATTGTTTGGGTTAAAACAACCCATATTCTTCAAGAAGCTTGTACTGTTCGGTCTTACAGTGTAGTATACACGGTATGTGAATATAAATGTTGACGGGCAGAGGATGTTGGGATGAGGGATGGAGGGATGAGGGATGTGGATGAGGGATGAGGGATGTAGGGATGTAGGGATGAGGGGTGTACGGATGAGGGATGGAGGGATGAAGGGATGAGGGATGTAGGGATGTAGGGATGAGGGATGTAGGGATGTAGGGATGAGGGATGTAGGGATGAGGGGTGTGGGGATGAGGGATGAGGGATGAAGGGATGAGGGATGAGGGATGTAGGGATGAGGGATGGAGGGATGAGGAATGAAGGGATGAGGGATGAAGGGAGGAGGGAGGAGGGATGTAGGGATAAGGCATGAGGGATGGAGGGATGGATGGATGTATCGCTCGGTGTGAGTCGGAAGGGGAACTGTATGGGTAGAAGGGAGAGGGAGGGTGGGTTGAGAGGATGGAGACAAGCATTGGCCGGAAGTTTTGCCGGATATAAATAGGGGTGGCCGTGGTTTGAGGCGGAGTTTTAGGCGTGGCCATGCTCCTGAACCTATGTTAACAATTGAACCTCATTAACAATCCGGACTCAAATATTAATATTTGTTCATTTAATTCATTTCTTGTTTTAACAGTTACTTATATTACTAATTTCAATGATATCTTTAAATGTATTAATGTTGTGTGAATCTGTACTGTCCTGCTTTTCGCTCTCACTCTGTTGCTGCTTAAACTCCTGAATTCCCCAAGGGGATTAATAAAGGTCCATCTTAGAATATTAGATATCCTCCTGGGACCCGAGGAAAAAAAGTGTCTTCCAATTTCCTTTTTTGTGATTTCCTACTTATTTAGGGTTAAAAAAACATCTTGGAATTTAGACTTTTTTAATTTAATTTTTAAATGTTACAGTATGTCCACTGTAGAGGACATCGGGACCATTAGTTTGAAAAGACAGCCAAAATTAACAGATAAACTATATAACGTATTATGGTTATAGAGTGATATTAATACAATAATACATTCACCTTTATTTAAAACATGAATAAGTAATTGATCTGAACATTACTGTTTATTTGGTCAATACAAAACTAGTTTGGTTTTTGGTGAATCTTTCCAGATCTTCAAAGACTTTGTAGTCAATGTAGTGGGAAAAGTACCTCATTGACTCCAGTCGGCACGGGCTGTAGGGTCATCTTGACTAGTTTTATGGATGTGGTCTCCATTTGACCATGCTCATAGAAACAAAGCTTGCATTCCTGAGGCAATTCTCATTTTTCATGGCTCCACTTAAAATAAAAACAACAATAAGACATACGTGCTACTCTTGGCCCACAGAGGGCCATGTCTTTCCAGCTCGTCCCTATCTGTCTCTCTGTCTGTATCTGTGCGCTCATGGAGCCTCCTGCATCTTTCCCCCCCTTCTTCTTGACCCTCTTCTATCCCAGGTGTGAAAGCCTCATCTCTCTCATCATCTGAGAGCTCAACATCTGAATCTCCCTTAACTATCTGGTACAGAAAATGTCTGCTTCAGTTCCGTCTTCTGCAACAATATTGAGTCATAAAGTCCATGAAGATGGTCCTGACGTCCACTAGGATGGACATTTACAGTTGCAAGAAAAAGTATGCGAACCCTTTGGATTCTCCACACATAGCGTTGTGTGTTCCTTCCAAACAACTCAACTTTGGTTTCATCTGTCCACAGAATATTTTGCCAGTAGTGCTGTGGAACATCCAGGTGCTCTTTTGCAAACTTCAAACGTCCAGCAATGTTTTTTCTGGACAGCAGTGGCTTCCTCCGTGGTGTCCTCCCATGAACTCCATTCTTGTTCAGTGTTTTACGTATCGTAGATTCGTCAACAGAGATGTTAGCATGTGCCAGAGATTTCTTTAAGTCTCTAGCTGACACTCTAGGATTCTTCTTCACCTCATTGAGCATTCTGCGCTGTGCTCTTGCAGTCATCTTTACAGGACGGCCACTCCTAGGGAGAGTAGCAACAGTGCTGAACTTTCTCCATTTATAGACACTTTGTCTTACCGTGGACTGATGAACATCAAGGCTTTTAGAGATACTTTTGTAACCCTTTCCAGCTTTATGCAAGTCAACAATTCTTAATCGTAGGTCTTCTGAGAGCTCTTTTGTGCGAGGCATGGTTCACATCTGGCAATGCTTCTTAAGAATAGCTAATTCAAAACTGGTGTGTATTTTCTATAGGGCAGGGCAGCTTACCCGGCAGATACTGTCTAAATCAGGGGCCTCCAACCTTTTTCATCTGAGAGCTACTTTAAAAAAATTAAAATGGCCAAGAGCTACTTGCATCACATCGCGTATACATATTCACATAGCACTCATCAGTTGAATTAAGTTACTTTTGTACACGTGTGAAATTGCAAAACCCAAAGCTTATCAAAAATCTTAACTTCACATCAAGGTCCAAGAAAACGACAATGTCTCACATATTATTATGGCCCACATAGTAATATACATCACCTTTACATGTTTTCACTTCTCATTCTGGCACATAGTAAATACATCACCTTAATCACCACCTTACAATTTTGTGTAAAACAAGTGCATTCAATCTTTTGTTAGTTAGATGACTGGCACTGCATGGAGTCCTGTGGAGTCTATTTTTATATAACATTACAAGATTGATTCTCATTATTATATTATATGCTTATTGTACTCATGAGATGTTGCTATGACTATGGAATAAATAGACACAATCACCAATCCCAGGTTCTGATGGGTTGGATACGAAACGAAGGGAATAGTCATATAAGAAAGTTTTAGCTTGCATATAAATGTAGCAAAAGCCAGGTGTAGACACTGTAGAGACAAAGAGTTATTGAAAACAGGAGATCGCCCTGGCCTTGAACAGTATGTGTGCTCCTCGCCCACGATAACTGGGAATCAGTATAATGGAGGATTCCACTATCTATCGTAGAAAACTTTAGCAAAACAAATTACGTATGATAGCGACTAGAGTAGGGAGGGACCTTCACCGGCCAGCCGAATGCTGATTGGGGTTTGTGTTGCCAAGAGACTTTGTCTAAGTCTGTGCACTAACCAGGGAGGCCAAAGTCTAAAACCACGGATCTGGCTGTGCAATATTAGAGCCAGACTCTGGCTGGAGCATCGTTCTTATAAACATATTGGGGACTTGGACAATTTCAAACAACGTAGGTGCTACAAGGACATTGTGTGTTCTGTTGTCAATGAAGATTTACACTTTGCACAAGTGGTCTTCTTCTAGGTCTAGCCTCCCTATATCTGTGTGTGAAATTGTTCCATCCTCAAAAACAAAAAATGAATGCTTCTGCAGTCTGTAGACTAACAATAAATGATTCAAACTGTCTTTGATAGCATCACTGAAACAAACACATACACTCACAAACATCTGCTGCAACACTTCAGAAACACTTCCCGTATTTTCCGACCAATGCCTATTGATGTGTTTTCTGAGATCATGGAAATCACTCAAAAAAAGGGGAAGTGGAAGTGAGCTCATTTCTGCTGCTATCGTAAAAATATCAAAACTGAAATGAGTGGCTGTGATCAGACTGCGAGACACGATGCTCCAAAGAGGAATGGTGAGTATCACAAACAATTTGGTGATAAATCTGGTGGTTTCTTTCTTTCATGAATTTTATGAAATTCAATTCAAAATTCAAAACCTTTATTTATCCAGGTAAAATCCCATTGAGATCAATGATCTCTTTTTTAAGGGAGACCTGCAATGCAATAGAATCTAGGTATTGGTACATAAGATAAGATATAAAGCACAATTACCTTTTTTGAACTTTGAAAAGAATTACAGGAATAGTCACAGAAAAATGTGATCTACAGTTAAATGCTTCAGTGTCAGTTTATTTGATTTTATAAACAGCGGAGCATGCCTTTCATGCAATGACTCTTAACGCAGCACAGGCATACCCCGGGTCTGAGCCACGGACAGCCCCGCCCCGGGGTTGCCACTTCTCTCTCCCTTGAGAATGGTTTTGTTTAGAATTAGATAAATACTTGGGAAATGTCCCAGTGCTCCTGATGGCCAATCCGCCTCTGCTTGGGTGAATGTATCAATTATTTTCATGTCAAAAAGCTCAACTCCTAGCGAAGTCACAAGTCATTTGTGTTTTAAAGTCCAAGTAAAGTTGCAACCCTTTGATTTTGTCAAATTTGGGACTCATGTCTGACTTAAGTCCAAGCATAGATTGTATCTAAATTGTCTCTAAAGTGTTTTGTTATTATTCATATAGTTTCACATTATCATTATTGTCATATAGCTTGCCTTTAATATTGTTTAATTTGTACACAAGACATTTATTTCATTTCAAACCTTTATTTATACAGATAAATCCCATTGAGATCCAAGGGAGACCTTATTCCACGTCTGTCTGTCTTCAGGGTTGAAACCGTCCTCAGCTCTCCCTGTAGTTCCTTTTGTTCCCCATTAATTATGGTCTTATCTTGTTTTATGCAACCAGAAGTAACAGGAGAGGGCTGATCGAAGTACAATGCTGAACAAGATATTTGTATGCAACCAAAATGTTACAATTAACTTTCATGAAGTAAAGACACACACACCTAAAGGCATCTTCTTCTCTCTAAGCAAGAAAAGTGAACACAAATATCAAGCTATTACTTTTCAGGATAAAGTGATGTTGTGTAATGGGTTGTGTTGTCCTGTACAGATTTGGACTCTTACATTTCATTACTGGCAACAAATCTCAACCTGGCAGTATCTCAACAAGCAAACCAGCCATGGGGGGTGTGTCCTTAATGCAGAGACTTCTTGTCTTATCTGCATTTCTCCTGCTACAGACTAGCCTTTCACTGGCATATTCTCTGAAAAACTGTTCCATTGAATATATGGCAGATGGTGTTTTGGATTGCTCAAACCGTAAACTTGTTTCCATCCCTGATGACATTCCCAGCCATGTGAGTTCAGTAAACCTATCAGATAATCTGGTCGAACAGATTAACAGGGGAAGTTTTGGAAACTTGTCAAAGCTGAACATTTTGTTCCTGATCTTCAATCATATCAACTATGTGGAGGACGGATCTTTCATCCATTTGTGTGCATTGACCCAACTCTACATGGACAATAACAAAATGACCGACCTCACTGGCAAGCTCTTCATGGGACTGTCCAACCTTACCATGCTATCCCTCAATGAAAACAACATTCAGTTTATTCATACCTCTGCCTTTCAGTTCCTGTCCAGCTTACAAACAGTGAGGCTAGACAGCAACAATCTCCAACAAGTCTCTGACCTTCTGCCCATCCTTCAGCTGCCACACATACAGAAGCTGAGCATTGGATCTACTCAATTTTCCTCCTTTGAGACCAAAGATCTTCCATTGAATGTGTCCTCAAGCCTGACGGTGTTAGATCTTTCTGATAGCAAGTTGGAGAAGTTCAGCATCACAACAGATATCTTTCCTTACCTTGAGATGATCAACCTTATTGGGAGTGGCATAGATTCTGGTCTAAAATGGGCTGTACCTGACAAGGCTTTACTGAGGAACATAACTCAACTGTATTTTGGTCACCCTTTGATTGCCTTTGAAGAATTACAAAAAGTCCTGGAGAGCCTTGACTCATTGGTGCATCTTAGACTTACGTATATGGAGGAATTGATCCACAACGGTATTTTAGCTACTGTTTGCAAAATACCAACACTTAAAAAGCTAGTTCTAGATTTCAACCACGTCCCCAATTTAAGCTCACAACTTGTAGATTGCCGCCACCTCAGTGAGCTTGATCTATCTCATACTTACATGAGGGAACTGCCTGAGGGCAAGATACGATTTATGAAGCAACTGAGGTTTTTAACTCTAGAGTGGAACCGCCTTACCAAAGTGCCTGATGATATTCAGAGTCTCTCCTCCCTCAAAATCCTCAATCTTGGAAAGAATTTCATTTCTGATTTGAGCTGTAACGATTTCATAAACACAACAGGCCTCACAGAGCTTTATCTGGTTTCCAACCGCATTGTCAAATTGGACAGATGTGTCTTTGAAAATCTTAATGAACTGAATATTTTAGATTTAAGTGATAACCTGCTGTGGACATTGGGAGGTGTCTTCAAAAAAGGTCTGCCGAGGCTTGAGTTCCTGGATTTGAGCAAGAACAATTTGATTATTCTTGAAAATGAGGATTTTCAAGCTTTAGGATCCTTAACATTTTTAAATGTAGTGTCAACTCATATTGGTAGGGTGAAACGTAGGACTTTTCTCGGACTGAACAACTTAAGAAACCTTACTGTATCTATTCCCCTTGACTATGAAACTCATTTCAGAGGAACAGGGCAGTTGGAACATCTTACAATCAACCTCTTTATCGACGGCAGTTTCAAAAGTCCTCTTCCAAGCCATCATGACGCTTTCTACCAGTTAAAATGTTTAAAAGTTCTTACTATAAAATGCAAAGGTTATCACTTTGGCCTCCCCCTTGACATACCATTGGAAATGCTCCAGTCTATGAAACATTTAGAGGAATTTACAGCTGAGAACGTCTACATCTCCGCCCTAGACCCAGAAACATTCCAATTCAATCCCCAGCTCAAGAGTCTTACCATCGGACAGACTGACTTGTCAGATTTGCTTCCTGAACTGTTTGAGCCAATACCAAACCTTCAGGTTCTCGATCTCTCTGAGAGTCAGATCAAGTCTTTGGATTTTTTGACCCAGGTCAACCTGCCTGCACTTAGATGTTTGAAACTGAGGGACAATGAGATTACAGTGATCAACGAGACGATCTTCCAGTGCCTCCCTGCACTAACACACCTGGACCTGGAAAACAATCCTTTCACCTGTGACTGCTCTAATGCCGGATTTATCCAATGGGTGAGGAGCAACAACCAAACTCAGGTTGTTAATGGCCATCAGTATACATGTTCCTTTCCTGTGGCTGAACAGGGAAGCAAGTTGCTGGACTTTGACATCCAGTCCTGTTGGATGGACGTGAGCTTCCTCTGCTTCATTTCCAGCAGTTGCATAACTTTGGTGACACTCCTCACATCGTTCATCTATTACTTTCTGAGGTGGCAGATAGCTTACACCTTCCACCTCTTCCTGGCATTCCTGTATGAAAGCAGAAGGAGGAAGAAGGGAGCTCCTCATCAATACGACGCCTTCATTTCCTACAACATTCACGACGAGGCCTGGATTTGCAGAGAGATGCTGCCGGTGCTGGAAGGAGAGCAGGGCTGGAAACTGTGTCTGCACCACAGAGACTTCCAACCAGGTAAACACACACACAACTCACACACAAATCACTCATATCTATCATTTTCTGCTCTCTGTAAATCATTTATTAAAAATAACCACACATTAAACCTAGCTGCATTTCTTTGGATAAAATGCAAAAATGTCCACGTTCTGGACAGAAAAACTAGTCAAACCATCAAAATGAAATATGTTTCTGAATTCCTGAAGAATGTATTTTCTATGCAACACATGCAGAAATGGTGTAGGTTGTTATACTGTGTCACTTAAGGGGGGAAAGTCAGGTGATCTTTATGCTTCCTGTAAGAACATAATTGGAAAGTGCTTTTATGAGTGCTTACAGAGAAGTCATTAAATGTATACATCACTGTTTCTGTCCAACCAACACAACTCCCTGATTGGGTGAAGTTTATACCAGAAGTAACCCTAATGTTGTATTTTTTAACTATTATTCTTTGTGCCTTCATGAAATGAATTTCATGTAACATTGCTTGAAATTCATTATGAAATAATGAATTATATTTATTAATACTGTAGCTTTCAATCTGTTGCTTTTTTAACTTAACTAAGTTTGAGGAAATGTATGACCAGGGGACATGGAACACGCAGAAACTACATCTGCCACACTCCGTTCGGCAGCAGGTTACACATTAAAAGGATGACAATTGATTGTTTTATTTAATGAAGGAGATGAACACATAAAGCTAAAAACTACAGTTTGAAAGTCAAGTGCTGTTTCAAATCAAGTGCATTTTCTGATAATTCTTAAGGACTTCTACAGAAGTGAGGAAACTAAACAATATCTCCCAGCGTGTTATTGGTACTTTTACTTAAAGTGAATAAAGTCTTCAACAGAGGTTCAGTATTTGATTCTGCTGTCAGAATTAGGGGTTAATTATCTTATTGTCTGTGTCCTCTGTTCCTCTTCCTCTTTACTCCTTCCTGTCATAGTATTGTGCATGCAGAGCAGATACAGTACCAAAAGGTTTCACATCGTTTTTCCCACTGAAGGAAAGCGGGCGTCTGGTACACATTAGCCCGGTCTCAATTCAGGGGCTGCATCCTTCGGAGGCTGCATTCGTAGACCGCATGTATTATTATGTATTGAAGTCAATGGCGAGAGAAAACGTATCTTTCGATCCCGTTTGAATTGTGCCATGAATTACACACATGATGTTTGTCAATATTCAAAAATCCTTTCATAAGTACTTGGAGGTGTCGGCGTTCTGGCGATTTACTCGGAAGGCTTCAGTAGAAGCTGCTGGGACTCAGTCCCCAACTCCGGGGACTTCCGGCCGGGGACTTTGGGCGGCAGTATACGCCGTGAAGTGATTTGCGGCCTGCCAGTAAACCCAAAGCAGAAAAAGAAGAAGTGACGTCAGCGGCTTCATTTGCGTAATCTTCCCTCAGGGACTTATTCCGGTGTGAACGCGATCTGTACTTAGTTCCATGGGGGTACTAAGTGCCAGGGCACTAGGTGCCGGCACTAAGTACGGCAAAGTACTTGGCGTGAAAGCGGCTAATGGGTCTTGCTCGTTCTTTCACTTCCCTTCTGATGAAAGGACCAGGAGTGGCTGGATCAAATTAGCTACCTAGCTTGTAGCAAGCAGCACGTTAGTTAGCATTACAGCCTTAGCATAAAAGTCAGTCAATGCTTTCCAAAAGCACGAGCAGTGAACTCCAGGCCCACGTGACTGAACTCAAAATTGAAAGAAACAGACTAAGAAATGACGTAAGCTCCATGATCAAAACTGCCAAAAAGAATTTCATCAATGTCAAAACTGAGGAAAACAAAAATAAACCCCGTGAACTTTGGAAATTACTCAATAACCAGCTTGGCTGCAGTAAAAAACTCAAAACGAGATTTTCTAACTTAAACATAAAGACAGATAACAGGCTCATCACAGACAAACTGGATGTGGCCAAGTACTTGAACATTTTTTTCACAAACATAGCCACAACTCTTGTAAATAAATTACCCTCCCACTCAGGGCTTTTTGGAGTAGATCACATCATGACCTACTACAAAAACCTAGGGGTACGCAAAGATGATTTCAGTCTAGCAAGGGTAACAACAGCAGAGGTTCTCATTAAACTGAGCGCCCTCCAACCTAACAAGGCCACTGGCCACGACAATACCCCTCCAAATTCCTCAGAGACACAGCAACCGCCATCTCACCAGTCATAGCTCACATAATTAACCTCTCCATAAAACAGGGAAAAGTACCCAAAGACTTCAAAATTGCAAGAGTAACCCCCCTGCACAAAAAGGGCAGCAAATTGGACCCAGGCAACTACCGCCCTGTTTCTATACTTACCTCCATCTCGAAAGTCATGGAAAAAATAGTATATGAACAGGTCGAAAAGTACCTCGCGGAAAATAAACTAATCTCTGAATTTCTATCTGGCTTTAGAACATCCCACTCCACTGACACATGCCTTCTTTATTTGAGCGACCACATCAAACAAGAGGTGGACGAGGGCAAGTACTGCGGCATGGTGATGCTGGACCTACAAAAGGCTTTCGACACTGTCAATCACCCCATTCTGATTGACAAGCTAAAAGCAATTGGTTTTGATAAACTATCGGTGAGCTGGATGCAATCCTACCTGGAGGGGAGAGAACAGATGGTGGAGGTAAACGGTACTCTGTCCCCCCCCCTCCCAGTGAGCTGTGGTGTTCCACAAGGAAGCATATTAGGTCTGTTACTGTTCCTAATTTATGTAAATGACATGTCATCAGCATGTGACTGCAACTTGTTCCTGTTCGCGGACGACTCAGCCCTGCTGGTCTCTGACAGGAACAGGTTGCAGGTTGAAAAAACCCTCAGCTCCGAGCTCGGCAGAATCTGCACCTGGCTCGCCGATAATAAATTATCATTACACCTGGGTAAAACAGAGTCCATTCTCTTCGGTTCGAAACATAATCTCAGCAAATCCGACGACTTCTCAGTTGCAGTGGGCGACATTATTGTCACAAGTAAGAAGGAAATTATATACCTAGGATCTATTCTTGAGGCAAACCTCTCCTGTGACAAAATGGCATCCAATGTAATAAAAAAAGTCAATTAAATAACTAGATTCCTATACCGGATCTCCTCTCTGGTAAACAAAAACACCCTGAAAACTCTGGCAGGAGCACTCATTCAAGGGTACTATGACTATGCTTGCACGTCATGGTACCATAGCACCTCCAAGGCGCTAAAAATAAAACTTCAAACATCGCAAAATAAACTGGTCAGACTACTGCTTGACCTTTCATCTAGAACCCACCTCACCTCTGCCCACTTTGACAACCTAGGATGGCTTAGAGTAGACGACAGAGTACAGCTACTTGCAATGGGCCTGGTCTACAAGATCCACTACACCTCTATGGTACCCATGTACATGTCAAAATTCTTCCCAAAGGTCAAGGAATACCATGATCATAACACCAGAGGGAGCTCCACAAATCATGTGAAACCCAGATTTGGCACAAAAAAGGGGGAATACACGTTTCGCAATTATGCCACATCAAGGTGGAACGCTCTTCCCACAACTGTAAAGGAAAGTAAAACTATACTTACCTTCAAAACCTCTCTTAAAGAGCACCTTCGGGGGAGAGCATTGCAAAACTGGCCCCGGTAATGGTACAAATCTCAACCTGTCGTTCAATGGACAGCTTCCCCCCCCCCATCTATGTATATACTCGCATTTTAGACTCTGTTACTAACTGTATATCTGTAGACTTGGTATGTCTTAAATGTCCGGTTAGGATGTATTAGAACGAAATCTAAAATGAAAATTGTAAACAAGCAATCTGTATGTAAAAAAACCACCTGTATGTAAATTGTAAATAAGCCATCTGTATGTCAAATATGTCTTATATGTCTTAAATGACATGATGAATTGGAAATGGGGGACCCTGATGTAAACAAGACGAAAGTCTTTCTCTGGTCTGCATCCCCTTAACAATTGTATGTTTTGAGCTGTACTGTACTGTACCCAATATACAAGCTGTTAATAAACTTTTCAATCAATCAATCAAGCCTTGTCATATTTATTAGCCTTCCTGTTAAGCCCTGAGCCTGTTTTTCAGGTCTCAGGCTCGAAAATGACATTCCCAGAACAAATGACCATATCTTCCCTTCTAAAAGGGTTAAATTATTAATCTTTTTTCTCAAAGTAATGATAAACCTGTGAGTTGGATGTAGACAAGTCAGAATCAATATAGATGTTTTTTATTTTAAAGAAAATTCAGATTGAACATGGTAAAAAACTGTAAATTATAGTGTCCGTCCAAAATATATTTTGTACTTATAGTGAAAAAACTAACCTTGGATGATGGATTAGTAGACTAAAAGCTTTAGGAATCAAAAGTACAACATATAATAAGTACCCTGTATCAAGATTGATGCAAAACAAGTGATATTTTTACCTTTTTAGACAGATTTAGCCAAATCTGGGGCCATTTGGGTGGATTTTCCATATCTCTGGCCGCCCTTGTTCGATTTTGACATGTGACATCTCTTTCTGACCGTTAGAACCAATAGAATCGAAGGGGAATCTCCCCACACACACACATGGTAAAACAAAAAAAAGGTGGGGGCTTCGTGTACACAGGTTTGCTCCAGAGTGAAGCTGTCTCTAGGTCTGACATCTCAAAACCCAAAAGCAGATTTATTGCTCATGGATTATCAGAAATCATTCAAGTGACACAGACACATTTTATCGTTTTAATGCCACTGAAGACTACTTTTGACCAGACTACCACACAGATGAGCCATTTTGCCGTTTTTAGCTAACTAGCTCCATATATTTTGATGTGTGTTCTTGTTATTATCTCCGATAATTCGTATAATTGAGTGATAATGAGGGTACCCATCGATTCTGTGTCCCCTCACGATGTGAAACGATGGGTTGAGATGTGCAGCAAAGATAAATAATAAGGTTTTGTGAGTGAATTTCGGTGCAGTCATCTGTTAGCATTTTTCGGTCGTTGCTAATTCAGAGGCTCAGCGTTAGCATTATGGGGTTTTTAAAAACATTTGTTTTAAATGATCAGTTAGATGAGTTTCTTTCCGTTACATGGATATAAAACATTCATAGTTTATTAAATGAACATGCCCTCAGACCAGTGACGTGCGGTGAGGTGAGGTTCATGGCTGGTGAGGCACTGACTCTTTCAGAGTCAGATTAACAAATATCATATTTTGACCATAATCGAAATATTCGGTTATTTTCAAAAGCTTTTTTAGTCTGATGCTTCGATTCATTTTAAACAGACCTTTCAACAAAAGGATACCCAAAATCTAAATATTGGATTGTTCTTTCTTAGTAAGATCCCATTTTCATTACAATTGGGGTCTTACCTTGACTTGAAGATGAAGTCCATGCTATCCTTCTGGACAACAATCTCTATTACTTTTTTGTAAAAGTCCTCCTTATCTTCCTCTAGTTTCAAAAGTCTAGTTTGTTGTTTGCGTCTACTGTCTCTGCGTAGAATAACAGTAGCAACAAGAACCTGTGGGCTCACTTGCGCCCCCTTCAGTGCAGCAGAGGTTATGGCTGCCTCCCCTGGTGCTTTTTTCATTGCCGTTGTATGATGAGACCAGCGAGCCTAAATATCATATATACGTGAAATAAGTTATTTAGAGACTATGGATGGCGAGGATAAATGTAATAAAGGGATCTACAAACATTACATTGGTGACATACAGTGAGATGGTGCAGGCATGCGCTTAGGGCCCGCTTTCCAGACAGTTTCTGTGGGGTAACGCATCTGAGGTGAGGCAGATCTCATCTGTGCCTCACCTTACCCCACAGTAACTGGCTTGAGCGCGCTCACAAAATAAGTGCCCGCGTTAAATTAGTGCCCGCGCTCCAGCCAGTTACTGTGGGCTTACGTGAGGCAGAGCTCGTCCCTGCCTCACTTCTCATCGCTACCCGTAGTTGTAGCGGAGCTCGTCAAATTTGCTGATTTTAACTATAAAAAGCGATTGGAATCATACATAAATCACATTTACAACACAGATCAGTGGAGACATTTTATTATTATTACTATTTAGTTTTTCTTTAGTTGTTTTTCCATTACATTGGAGTATGACAGGTGAGGCTCTGCCTCCCCTGACTGCACGTCGCTGCCTCAGACACTGTTTCCTGCAAGATGTTGCAGGAGGCCCCCAGTACCGGGGTCTCTCGGGCTTAACATGAAGTAACATTAAGTAACCCAAAATGTTAAACAGTAAGAGTAGTAGTCAGTGGCGGCCGGCCCATAGGGGCGCTAGGGGCGCCGCCCCACCTCTTCCCACATTCCAAAACAAATATTTAAAAAAATATTAAATTAAAAATATATATTAAAAAATATATATTTAAAAAACATATATATTTTATATTTTTATTTTTAATGAACAAGGTAAATATCATACAATTGGTATCAGTACAATGTATAATCTACAATAAAATCTCGTTTAAAATTGTGTTACGATGTCTAAAGTTACTGATAAGTCACATGTTTCCTGCCTGGCCTTGCCCATGGCATTAGTTTATCATTACCGGGCGGAGCCCCCGAGACAAACAGCAGCAATCAGCACCTTGCAAAAGTCTCAATAGTAAACTGTGCCGCCGAAACATAATTTCAGCCAATCAGCGCCGTCAAATATTTTGGTCACGAGGGCGCTCACGTTGGCGCCCACGTTGCTTACGTGACGTGAGTTGTTTTTTAGACTCGTGAGTGACCAAGGTGACGCAGTATTTAGAATGTTGTGCAGGTGGAGTCGCCGGACCTCGGTCCGCACCCAATTCCGTGCAAGAGCTACTCTCCAATCCTTTCCAAAGGAGAAGTTTGGGAGATAAATTCATACTTAAAGACCTTGGACCGGACCAACCCGATTTATATCACAGCAAGCTCGTGAAAAAGACAAAAACGTATCAACGAGGCTAGCTGGATGCAAACAGGTAAATGCTATCTTTTGTTTCCCATGCTTGCTCTTCAAACAGATACGATCTGTTCAGAAACTAGACAAAAGTTAAACAAGTACAAACCACAGACTGTCTGTGTCATGGAGAATACAGTCGCTGGTTTATTTATGTCTGTATAGGCCGTTGTTGTGAGTGTGGACGGTCGAAACATATATAACGTTAGTTTAGCCAAGCTCCATTTAGAAAACAAGCATTCTAAAAGGTTTTTCGCCTGCCGTCTGTCTGCAGACTTGTCAAAGCATTAATTCATGGTTTTTACTAACCGGTATCAGTATGTTGTTACGTCGGCATCATTTAGAAACGTGTATTACAATTTAATCACGGTAAAATATGTTCATTTTGTTGTAGTTGTAGCTCCCGAGCCAGCGCGTCTTGTTTGAATGATGCGAGTAAACACAGCTGGCAGCCGCGGTGAAACGGGTGAAACTCGAGCGACTAGAGCGATGCGATAGGAGCGTTTAGAGCGAAGCGAATATTCGCATCGCGTCCGGTCTGAACCGTCTATGGTCTGAACGCAGCATAAAGCGAGCTCCGCGCTGCACTGGAAACGCGCCATTACATCACCAGAAGTCCTAATTTAAGGGGTAATTTCTCCCAAAAAAAAATGTTTTACTCACTATATCAAAAGCCCCACCAAAAATATTTTCCACCAGCCGCCACTGGTAGTAGTCATATTTCGTGAACTCTTTGAAGAGCACTGCGAAAAAGGAATTTTAAGAAAGTAAAAAAAACTTGTTTCTGGGAAACAATTCTTATTTTTCGTTTAAAAAGTCAAATAATCTTCTTAAGAATGTTTTGCTTAAGAAAAGTATTCTAACTTTGAGAAAATATATTTTGCTTTTTCTTATTGAAAAATGCTATCTTATATTGAGCTAGAATTAACCAGTAACAAGTTAAAGTTGCATAAATTCCCAGCATGGAACAGATTTCTTTTTTTCTTATTTTAAGAAATAAACCATCAAACAACTTCTTAATTTAAGAAACTGATGAAATGACACCAATTTTACATTTCATATATATTTTAAATAACAAATAATTCTAGCTTTTAATAACAAAAAGTAAGATATATTTTCTCCAAGTAAAAATACTTTTCTTAAGCAAAACATTCTTAACAAGGTTATTTGACTTTTTTTGACGAAAAATAAGAATTGCTTCCCAGAAACAAGTTTTTTTTACTTTCTTAAAATTCCTTTTTTGCAGTGTGTCTATTCAGTTTTCACATAGATTGGTGCAGTTACGCGTCCTAAAACCTGGAAGTAAGCCGCGCATGACAAAAAAGCAATGGGATTTCTCCATAGGATTTTGGAAAATAGCTCATAATAATGAAAACGTGGGTACAACAGAGCTGATCCAGATTTGCGTCCGATATGATTGCAACACACACACACACACACACACACACACACACACACACACACACACACACACAGTTTCCTTACCTTACACTCTATAGCTGTGATACTACAGTATCATAATTGTTAGCACTAAAATGCTATCCTGATGACATTTGTTTATTTCTTCTTCTTCTTCTTCTTCTTCTTCTTCTTCTTCTTCTTCTTCTAATAATATTAATGTTTTTCTCAGCCCTCAGGTTGGATGATTTGGAGGGTTGGGTTGTGTTTTTTGTTGTTAAGTGTTAATAACTATGTAAAACTGAGTGGACTATACTTGTAAAAGTATGATTTGTATGCATCTATATCACAATAAAAATACATGTGAAAAAAAAATATATACATATTTATTTGAATGGAATTTTATTCCAGCAAACAATCGTCTGTAAAGTCTGGAAAAATGTGTGACTGAGTGCTGCACAGTGGGGTAAACGTTCTTTATTTCAGCTGCTGGTACAGTGTCTGTTTGGTAATCCTCTTTCGGTTTGAGGAGGAATGTGTCCATAGATGGATATTTTCTTTAACCTGGCATTTCTTGTGAGTTTCACATTCTGTGTCACTTTAAATTGTATTTGTCTCTGTGCGCGATTGAGACAAATTTCATGCGGCTTCACGCATAAATAAATACATTTGATTGTTGGTGGATTGACATCTGACACAGCTAATGGTGATAGCTGTCTCTTATTTTCCAAACAGCTTTGGATTTATGTGCGACTGTCAATCTAATGCGGCACATCGGATAAATGTTTGGGACAAATTATAAACATGCTGTGCAGTCCCGCCCTGACCCCTGGTCACCCTATCGATGGGTATAATGTGTTGGCAACCTCCTCCCTGGAGCTCACCAGCCACCTCCAGATTTACGCTCATTTCTGAACTAGCTTTCTCCACTTGCCCTGCTTTATCTGCAGCTTTGGTAGCTTGCTATAGAGCAGTAGCGTGGCGTGAGGAAAAATGTAGGGGAAGCCCATTTTTTGGGTCGGGGGGTCAATAACGTAACCAGATGAGTGATTACAGCGCCCGGTATCATTTTACACACATTTGTATCACACAGATGCAGGACTTGCACACGCCTGTTATCTAACCGAAAGGTCCGCACGCACTCTCCAGCTGAAACTCTCTCCTTATTAATTTAAGCATTTGACTTATTAATGTATGCAGACAATCACACAATCTATGTGATTTGTGGATTTACCGTGCCTCTCAATTGCCCGTGACAGGTTGGCAAGGTCGATGAATCCTGAAGTTGCCCAAGGATTGTTCAGGGAGCACGAATCCTTGTCAAAAAGAAGACATGGCCAGCAAAATAGACGCTGAAGTTTAGCGCTTCCAGTTAGCCACTCCGTGCGGACATAATTGTCCTCATTGAACGTCCGATTCTCTCCCTTTTTCCTCTGTGTACACACAGCTCGAGTGCGGGCATTGGCCTGCCATCTGATTTAATTTTTAGTTGCTGCTGTAGCGGATGTTTAGTAAAGTTATGTTTGATTAAGTACGCCAAATCTCCACCCTCCATAATGCTTCATTTGCTTGATAATTTCTAACGGCGGTGATGACAGTATTAAAACTGATGTTGATGTGATTTGATTGGATGGCAGTGTCCAATCAAATCGCCAGCCGCCAGCCGCCTCTGAAGGGAAGCAAGAGGCGGCTGGCTTCCCTTGGCATGGCCCTGACCAATCACAGGTTGGCAGGGGCATCACGTGGGTCTCATCTGATTGGTCAATCCCTCCATTTTTTTTCACCAAAGGAAGCCAGATTCGGCTGGCCTCCTCTCGCAACAGTGAGTGCAATCTACTGTTTCACCATAACATCTAGAGGGGCGCTGTTTGTTTCACTCTTTGTAAAATACTCAATGAGAATGGGGGAGAGACGGGCCGGCAGCAACACACAACAAAGGAGAATTATCGAAACAAAACTAAGTGTTTTTATTTGTTTATTTAAATTATAACTACAATCCGAAAAAACAGGGGAAGCCTGGCTTCCCTTGGCCTCCGGGAGAAAACGCCACTGCTATAGAGTGGTGCAGAAATGAGTCCTGAAACTCTCAAAGCCATCAACTTTTTGAAGGACTTTTTGATTAGGGGCCTAATGTAGTTATTTTATATGCTAACCTCCAGCTTGGCCTAGAAACGTACATTCTCACTGCATCACTCTATTGGATGCATGCTTATGATCTGACACCTGGTCGCTCCTTTCTTATGCTCAGCAAATCAAAAAGAAGAGAGAATTCCATGCAGTGGTCAGGGTCTCTAAGCCACATGGGTTGATTTAAAAATACTGTCTTAAGCTGGATTTTTTATGTTTCAATGCTTGTGAAAATGGTCTTAATGTGCAGTTGAGAATATCACTGGTGTGTCTGAACTCTCCACAGGGAAGCCGATCATAGAGAACATTACAGACGCCATCTATGGCAGCAGGAAGACCATCTGTGTGATCACCAGGCGCTACCTGCAGAGCGAGTGGTGCTCCAGAGAGATCCAGATGGCCAGGTAATGGCATCTTTCATTATTCCTTCTTCCTTCAAAGAGGTCCACTAATAGAGCAAAACACATGTGGAGGATGGACAGGCTGACACAAAGACTTCTCGCCATTATGAAAGAAAAATAAGTGGAAGACATTGTGACCACCAGACAACAACACAAAGCAATGTAAGAAATGTTGTAAGGCAGCCTTTAAAGAGGACATATAATAATTAGGGCCGGGACTTTAACGCGTTAATTAAGATTAATTAATTACACAAAAATTAACGCGTTAAAAAAATTAACGCATTTTAATCGCATGAAGTTGCTTCTACTGAAGTCCCCAACTCCGGTGACTTCCGGCCGGGGACTTTGGGCGGCAGTATACGCCGTGAAGTGGTTTGCGGCCTGCCAGTAAACCCAAAGCAGAAGAAGAATAAGTGACGTCAGCGGCTTAATTTGCCTAATCCTCCCCCAGGTTCAAAGAGTTCTCATGAACCTTTGTGGGAAAAGTACTGCGGTGTGAATGCGCCTAATGGTATACTAAAATCCATGTGAAAAAAATTACGGCTATGAGCGTACTGATGAAAAATAAATGGGTCTTGAGGAGGGACTGGAACAGGGTGAGGGACTCAGAGTCACAGAGGTCTTGGGGGAGGGAGTTCCAGAGCTTCGGGGCTGCCACAGAGAAGGCTCTGTCCCCAAAGCTCCGGAGTTTGGCTTTCGGGGTGGAAAGCAAACCGGCTGAGGTGGATCTGAGGGACCGGAGGGGTTGGTAGAGGATGAGGAGGTCAGTGCGGTAGGGGGAGGCCAAATAGTGGAGGGCTTTGTATGTGAGGACCAGGAGTTTGTAGTGAATGCGGTGAGAGACGGGAAGCCAGTGGAGTTCTTTGAGGACCGGGGTGATGTGATGCCATGATTTGGTGTGGGTGAGGAGTCTGGCGGCTGCGTTCTGAACACGCTGGAGTCTACTGAGGGAGGTGGAGCTGATGCCGTAGAGGAGTGAGTTACATAGTCAAGGCGGGAGGAGATGAATGCGTGAATGAGTCGCTCAGCTGCAGGGCGGTGAGAGAGGGACGGAGTTTAGCAATATTGCGGAGGTGGAAAAATGAGGTTTTAACTACTTGGCAGATGTGGGGCTCGAGGGAGAGGGTGGGGTCAAATATTACGCTGAGGTTGCGTGCCTGGGTGGAGGGGGAAACAGGGGTGCCGTCGATGGTGAGTGTCAGGTTGGGGTTTTTGCTGAGGGTGGATTTGGAGCCGATGAGGAGGAGATTTTATTGCAGTCAGACAGGAGTCGATGTGGGTGAGGGGGGGTTGTTGGGGGATTTGGTACTGAGGTAAATCTGGGTGTCGTCGGCGTAACAGTGAAAGTCCAGGTTGTAGTGGCAGAGAATCTGACCAAGGGGGAGGATGTAGATGATGAAGAGGAGGGGGCCGAGTACTGAACCTTGGGGAACACCTTGAGTGACTGAGGCTGTGGCAGAGGAGTGGTTGTTGAGGGAGATGAAGTGGGATCTGTCGGAGAGGTAGGACTGGAGCCACCTGAGTGCAGTACCTTCGATACCGATGTCCTGGAGTCGGGTGAGCAAGATGTTGTGGCTCACGGTATCGAAGGCTGCCCTCAGGTCGAGGAGAATGAGGATGTTGAGGGAACCGGTGTCAGCAGAGTTGAGGAGGTCATTGACGACTTTGATGAGTCTCATGTGCTCATGTTCAGGCTCATATTCGTGTTTAGTGCCTCTACTGAGACATATTTACAGTGACTCAGAGAGAGAGCTTGCTTTAAAGACTTCCAGTAACCAGCTCTTCTATCAACTAAGAAGAGACTCTATTCATGGACTGAAGCTTCACTGGGGATAGTTTTAGTCTGTTTGCCCGCTCATAGAGTCCTATTGCGAACCCGGAAATGTTGAGTACCCCAAAGTTTTATGTTAGAAATGTAAAGTAGGGTCCCCAGCACATAGAAACTGTCGGATGCTAACCTGCATATGTTGGGCAATTTGGACAATTAGCATAAATTGTGTTAATTAGCATTAATTGCCATTATAGCCATGTAGACAATCTTTAGAGAATAGAGAATAGAGGAGGGGGTGCTAATAGAGAAGTCTGCGTGATCTGCCTGTAGGGAGGGACGGCCCTGATAAGATATAAAGCAAGGTATTATATGTACATGACAGATGGTATATATAAATGTCAAATGTACAGTGAAGAGAAAAACATGTATAATAATAATAACCCCCCAAAACACTCCAACATTTTCCAAATCAGCCATTTTTTAAATAATGTCCACGTAAGCTATAATTCCATAAATGCTAATTAATTAAACTTTGCCCAACATATGCAAGTTAGCATGTGCTGGAGACCCCACTACACATTTCTAACATAAAACTTTGGGGTATTGAACTTTTCCGGGTTCACTATGCTAACGACTACAAAATAATCTAACTTGTAAAATACAAATGCTGCCCTCTCCCGTGGTTGAGCTTTTAGTCCGATGTTTTGTGTCCTGTTCAGCTTCCGTCTGTTGGACGAGCAAAAGGACGTGCTGATTCTAATTTTTCTTGAGGACATCCCGGCCCACCAGCTGTCTCCATACTACCGCATGAGAAAGCTGCTGAAGAAACGCAGCTACCTGAGCTGGCCGCAGGCCGGACAACACACCGGAGTCTTCTGGCAGAACGTGAGGAGAGCTCTGGAGGCGGGGGGCGCTGCCACTGAGACCACCCACCTGCTCACTGGACCAGCAGCACGCTGACCATCTGGACCCGGGAGGTCACTGACAGGTCACCCTAATGGACTATGCAACTTTAGCACACACTGCATCGCATCAGCTTGTATCACAATGTCAGGTTGTTATTGTAGCTGTCACATGGCAGAGGATTTTACCTGGTTCATTAGCAGTGCATGGTTTTTTAGTGTGTTTTTATACTTTACCTTTTGGTTTGATTTTATGGCACGCTTTTATTTTAAAGTCTAACATGTTTTAGTTTCACATGTACACTGTATTACCTTTTATGGCCTGCTTTTTAAAAAAAAAAATATATAATGCTATGTGATTTTATTGTATTTACTTTAAGCCTTGTTGATCACCTAAAAAGGCCAATATTCAAGGACACCTGGGAGCCAAGATTAGCATGGGAGGGAATGGCTTTTAAACAGAACACACGGCACCAGCCGACACAGGGAGGAAAAAGAAGAAGGACAGGGAGGAAGGAGGAGGATAAAGAGGAGGACAGGCGAACAAGGGCAGAGTCAGGAGAGGATGAAGGCAAAATAGACCCACACGTTGAACCAATATTTAGCTCAATTTATATTGTAGGCTATGTTGGAGTCAGTGTTTTAGAAGAGGTTTTAGTAGAGATACATTATTATTTTAAACTTAATATTATTGTGAAGCTCCTTGATGCCAGGGTTGCTCTCTGTGTGATTAAAATAATCATTTTCTTATTACATAGCCAGATTACCGTATGTATATGTATACTGAAGATAATAAAAGGTGTGATTCTTCTTGATTATATTTAACCGTGTGCCTCTCACATGTTTCAATACATTCTGTTAACAGAGCTTTGAATTGAGGTGCGCATAACCTGTGTGTTGGATCAGATGTGTAGTGATGAGGTTCCATCATTTAGTTTAAGACAAGGTAAAATAAAATAATTATTTTGTGATGAGGTTGTTCCAGCAGCAGAACAAAAGTAATATCGAGAATGTCAATAATTACATAAAATAAGTATGCAACATCTAGGAATCAAAGTAGAAATATACACTATAAGAGCAAATGGTATAGCGAAATTGCATAGCATCTTAACCTCCATAAACCTATAAAGTACCTAAAATGTGTTCAACTGAAACCCTGAAACTGTTACCAGATTTCAGTGCCCCCCCCCATACATGATGGCTCATATGGCCACAGATGGGGCCACTGTGAACCTTTATGATATTAATCAAGGCTAAGACTATATTTTACGAATGTCAGGCTAATATCAATATGAGTTATGAATATGATAATTGAGTAAATGCATCACTGATATACTTTAGGTTCTTATTGTATGCTTAATGTTACAAATACTGTACTGTGATGTGCATATTATAAAACCTTTGCATATACTGTCCTGTATTAATATGTACTGTATTATGTATATGTATAAACATGTGTAAGGCTGTTCGCTGTGCTTCAAAGGGATTCCTTATCTTTTAATACAGCTTTCATTTGAAGAAGTATAGCGAATCCCCACACAACTTCTTGGTTTAAAAAAAACACCAACAGGAAACCTTTCTGTTTATAAAGTGTGACTTCTGTACTTCCTGTTATCAGCTCTCACTGAGGGGCACCGTATAGCCCCCTCCTCCCCGCCCTGTGCGTCTGCTGTGGGGATCTATTCTACAGTTCTCTGTACAGAGGACTACTGTAAGACATCTGGGGGGGTGCTAGTGAATTGTGAATGGGGGGGGGGGAACCTCGCTGAGGGGAAATGCTACAGATGGCCAGTCTGCCCCTGACAAATGTCTATGCACACGTTATTATTAATAATAATACAAATAATAATAATTATAAAAACCTTTTTTTTTTTTTAATCATCTAGCGACCCCTCCTCAGGCTCTCGTGACCCCCACTTTGGGAACGCCTCGTTTAGAGAACATCCTGCGACTGGGAGACCTGGAGGCCATGAGGGTAGCTAAAACCACAGAGACTCAGCCGACGCCACTCCACCTCCTCAACAGCGGCTGGATTTTAACCAAGGGACTGCTAGCCAGGGAAAAGTCGATAAAGCCATTGCACGGTATGTTGTGGAACACATGCAGGCTATTGCTACAGTGGAGTCACCCGCTTTCAGGGAGCTAGTTAGCATGATACCATGTCCGGGCGGCATATGGGACGGAACACTTTTTCCAACTACCTGGAGAAAGAATATACAAAAATGGAAAGCCAGCTAATATCGATGCAATCCAGATTGCATAATGCATGTCAAGTTGATCAACAGATTGTATTATTCTCCAATGCAATAACAGTACTGAAATGAAGGCTATAAGGGCATTAATGGGAGCCCTTTTTTAAAGTAACTAAAAAGTTACTTTTTACAGTAACGCATTCCTTTTTTTTGTAAGTAATCAGTACAGTAACGGAGTTACTTTTGAAATGAAGTAACTAGTAATGGTAACTAGTTACTGGTTTTCAGTAACTAGCACAACACTGATTATCAGTAATAATTTCAAAGTGACACAGAGACATTGGATTAACCTTCAGCAGCGTATTTGTGCCATTGAACACAACTTTTGATCACAAAACACCAAAGGTAAGACGTATTCATGTTATGGTTCTGAAACCGGAAGTTGTTTTCTTGCACTTTCCTGGCTGCTAGTTCAGTGAGTTGTTGTCGTACAGTGATGAGACTTATACATATGATATGTCGTTGTGCAGAGATAGCATGAAGTAGAAAATATCCCTTTTACCAGTTATGTGCTAATGTAGCCGTTAGCTTGTTTTCGGTTTAGACGATTTAGACGCTTGGTGTTGGACTTGTGTTCCGTTTCGGTTCAAATGGTTAATATAATCTGTTAGCTGAGTTTCTTCCCGTTAAAGATAGGGTAAGTACGTTTGAGAAACCGGCTCGAGATACACTTTTTGTTATATTCCATGAAATGCTCTTAACATCCCGATAGCAATGAATATCTTAAGCGCTTTGACAAAAAATCCATACAAAAATGTCATCTGTGGAAGCCGTAGTACTTTAAAAAGCACGACCAATCATTTGAGCCGGCCCGGCTAAAATAACTGGATGGCCTACCTGCCTGTCAGCCTTCCATCTGTGCACAAACTTATCTCGTGCCCTCATTGGTCATGTGCGCGTTCGTGTGTGTTGGAGGAGGGGCTCTGTGAGGAAGTGGCAGATTTGTTCCGGCTGTGTATTTTCAAATTCTAGCGCACTCGAGCTGGTTTCTCCAAAATGACCTACCCCACCGTTAAGTGGGTATGCAACATTAAGCTCATAGGGGCGTAAAGCCAACCCACATTTTAGTAATGTCGTCATGACCGCAGCAAATCTGGAATAGCTCTGTTGTACCCAGGGGCGGCGGGTACTGTAGGCTAGGGAAGGCTAAGCCTTCCCAAATAATTGTGTCACTGCATCCTGGTAAAATAAAAATATGTTTGTGTCTTTGACATTAGCGCTGCTAAGCAGCCACCTGTGCACTACGAAGCCAGTTCAACAGACCCTGGATATGTTTGAGTTATCTTAACTAACCCTAACAAACGAGATCTCGCTAAGCGGTCCTACGACACTGTTTGGTTATCAACTCGGTAAATCAAGCCAGGGTTTCTCTCTCCAGTTGAGAGCGCGTTCACGTGAAAGGGGCGGGGTTAGCAACATTTGACCAATCACAAACAGGGACAAGTGTACTGACAGCGCAGCGTCATACTTCATTAAGGAAAAGTAAACTAATATTAGACAAATATGAACTTTAAACATCCATGATTTAAACATATAATCCAGGATACAAGCCACATAGTTGCACCTGCAAGGTGAATACAGAACAACTGGTTAAAAAATAACTACCGAGTGTTTGAAAGCGTACAACAGTTTTATGATATCACTGCCCCATCTAAGACACGAGTGGATCTGACTTTAATTACATTTGAGTTGAGTGTTTCGTCAACCTAATGTGTTGCTTAAAAATATACGTCTGCATACATTATGTGACACTGAGTGTTGCACGGCCAGATACGGCTCGAGAAGCTGACTCAGATAAGGACATATTGTGATATTATATGATCGATGATCTGATTGATGATGATATGAATGATAAGTGTGACACGTTGGTGTCTTCCCTGCATACGGCAGTTTAAACTGTATTTCCTTTATCCTGTAATTAATATGACTTGATAGATTTAAACTCCGCACACTGAGCTCTGATCGGTCAGCAGGCGGTGCTTTCACTGAGTTGATCTCTTTTCTATAGACCCGGGCAGCGTCAGGTAAAAAAAAAGTTATTAAGCCTTCCCAAACCTGAGCCTCACGCGCCGCCTATGGTTGTACCCCCGTTTTTAGAGATGTGGGCAAGGAGGAAAAGAGAGAGGGTTGTATTTTCCGACACTTTATGAGTCTCCTTACACACCGGGGACACGTATTTATACGTATAATAAATCAAAAAGTGCATTTTGCCTATTAGGAGCCCTTTAAAGCATGGAGACATGTCACATTAAAGGACAAAGCGATTCTATCTCATCAGTGTTTGTTTAGGTTCCTCTCCTTCTGTCCCTGTTACATCCTCTCTGCATTTAAACCATATGAAAGACAATAAACACCTATCATTAAAAGGATAAAGAATAAAACGGGTTACACACATAATATGTTAAGGGTGTTTTTTTTATTGAGAGCACAGCACATACTAGTGAAAATATGCTCCACACAGAGATTTATGCATAGGACCCCGTAAGAGCTTTTGACAAATTTCAATGGGACTCCATAATTGCTCACCAATTACTGCGTCTCATTTGATGCATTACATGTTGATGAGGGAAAACAAACAAGTCCTTTTATGGTTCACAATGGGAGGGAGTAAGAGGGCTTTAATATGGCAAATGGTTGTTTAATGTTCGCTGTGAGCAAGTCTCTCTCAATTCCTGCCAGCATATGAAGGACCTTTGTTGCTATAGGGATGGTGTGTCCATGGCAACAATGTTAAGGGACATGTCGTTAAGCAAGCGATACATAAAGTTAATAAGGTCGGGGAAATAAAGGTGATAAACTATGATCAGGGACCGGATTTAATCAGAAACGGGGTCCATGATGAGGGAAACAATAAAAAAAGTAAAAATATATCTGAAATAAAACTAATATCAGCAACTTGATGGATTCTTGAGAACCTTAAAGTATGGTTAGTCCAGTATTCGTTCCATAGCCACACTCGCAGAACCAAAAACTACAAAATAAGTACAATATTCAAATAATTTTATAAAAATAAATCCTTTTGTATGTTAGTATGGGATCCTCTATCCTACTACAACTATTCATAAACCCTCTTTAAGTCTCATTAGCTACATAAAAACACCAAAGCAAATGTTCACATTTCTATTAATTCAGATTAAAAACACTTTGAAATATCAAATAAAAAATAAATAAGAAAGTATTTTTGGGATGTTGTTACATTGGTATCCTACAAAACGTGCAAAGATTTGGTGCAAAATAAAAAAAAGGAGCCTGAGGTAACATCGGGACTTATGGCAAAGGATTAGGGCCACGCGTGTTTACCAAAAGTAACAAAAACATGTAACAGATTCAAGAAGTCAGAACCATGAGAAAAATGTCAGAAAAAACATCTGAAAATTCTGACTTTTAATCAGAATTCCGAAATTTCACAGAATTCTGACATTTTTCTCTGAAATATAAGAAACGAAATTCACTCTTGGTCAGATCTAGAAAAAATAATCACATGTGGCCATAATCCTATTCCGTAGGGACTAATGAGGATACAAAGCTGTTAAAACCTCTCAATTTCACAGTTTTATACAAAACAAATTCTTTACGACACAACCTTTCAAATTAAATAGGTGACTTTTTTAAAGTACATCAGTGCTACAGGTAGCTTGTGTTGAAGTGAAAGCTAATAAGAATCACTATTTGATCAATGGGTCTCCTCTAACTTCACCATCCGTCACATTACCAAACTTTCTGTAAGCTCTTAGCAGCCTCAACAAGAATGACCTAAAAAAAGGTAGAGGAGAAACGCCCATTTCCAGAGATGGACAGTCTCCTCTAAGTAAAGTCATTTTTATCTCTTAAACCACATACATCCACACATATCAAATCACATGCTCTAAAAACATGAACGAGAACTCATCCCTTTCTTCCAGTGACTGAGAAGCAGTAAGTAACACATACATAAAATATTAACCATTTGGACAACAAGAAAAATAAAATCTATCAAAATGAATAATATTGCATTAGGAAACTGTGCTGAACCCAGGTAATGCTGATATGTTAATATGTTCTGATCAATATTGAATACAAACTGCTGGCATTAAGTGAGTTTTCTGCTGTGTTGGGGTCATTGTAAGCGTTATCATTGTTTCATAGGAAAAATAACTCTTAAGACTAACTGTGAAAATAAACCCTATTAAAACTACTCTCAAACCAAACAGTCTAAACGCAGGCAGCTTAACATGTTTCCTGCACTAATCTCAGGACTGTGTTTTCAATTAAGAGGTGGCAGCCGGTGATTAACAGTCCCCTTGGTGCTCAAGCTCTGTCTCGGTGATGAGATTACTGGCCATGGGAAAGAGCTGAAACACCAAGAACAGTTAGTCACTTCTAAAGCTGCTGATCATAAAAGGCTCCAGGTGGAAACACACAAACGAGGAGCAGGTCGAGGCTGAAATCAGGCAGAAAACGTGACTCCTTCAGGCTGTGAGGTCGTCCGATGAGGCAGCGAAGTCGGAGCTGCGCAGGGCGTTGGTCTGCGCTCGTCTGCGGGCCAGTCTGGAGTTGGAAGGAGGAGAAAGCCTCATGGAGCAAACGATGCCGCCGACGTCCTCCTGCTGCTCGTCGTGCTGCGACAGCTGCCGGTTGAAGGCGATGGCTTCGGCTGCGAACTGAGTCAGGTCTTTGGTGCTGCTGTTCCTGGAGGAAGAGAGGGGGGGGGGATGTGGGGGGGGGGGATGTCAGAGACAGTTCAGGTCTTCCTGTCTTTTTGCATTTTACTCAAACACTCAACGTTTTTACACCAAACACACAAAATTTACCGTCTGATCAAAAAATAGTAACAATAGTGTTTAGTCTATGGTTTTAATCTGACTGTTATTAATCTGTAGGTCTTTTAAAATGCTACAATTGTGTTTAAATCAACGTATAACTCTTAAATAAAATAGAAATGTCATGTTAAATATTTGTATCCTTAACAGTCATAAGATGATAGAATACCGAGACCTACACGTAAGACAAAACACAGCAAAACCCACAGAACAAAAACAGACACAGAAAAAGTATAAATATTTTTTTCAAATAGTCACAACGTTGCATGCTAACCATGTACGTAAATATTCTGTTATATTTGTTACCCCGTGGTTATAAAACGTACAATCCAAACTCATTAGATAACCTATCCACTGGCAGAAGGGACAGGGTTTGTTAGATTGTGTGACTTGACTTTAGAGAGTCTGTCTTACCTCTGCAGAACATGAGGAGTTGGAAGACCTCTCTCTGGTGCGTTCTGTAAATAAAGAAATTGATTAATCGACATGAAATTATTCAAAAAAGAATAGCATTTGATGAAGGACACAGTGTTCTTGTATCCAGAAACAATATTAGAATACCAAGAACAAAACAGCTTATCTAGAACACGGATGTAACATTACTCACCCCCTGCACCCAGGGGTGCTTGAGGACCTGAGCAGCACTGAGGCGCAGAGTGGCGTCCCGGACCAGCAGCTTGGATATGAGATCCTTCGCCCCCCCCGTGATGCGGTCCCAGTCCTTGTCTGGAAACTCATACTTGCCCTGCTGGATGCTCTCAAACAGGTGACTCTGAGGAGAGAATACGACGCAACATTAGGGCTGAACGATTAATCGATTTTAAATCGAAATCGCAATTTTAAATGATGTGATTATCAAATCGCAAAGCCTGTGATTTTTTTTGTTCTTCTTTGTCAGTCATCCACACCAATCAGAAGTGCTGTGCTCCACATGTACCAGCCATTGTTAACCAATCAGAAGTGGCCCATGATAGAAGGTGATAGACAGATTGATCCAATCACCTGCCAAGTATTTTGGAAAGTGCCTGCCCTTTCCAAATGGCTTCCAATGGAGCTTCCCTAGATGGTTTGGTGAAACTAATAATAATAATAATAATAATAATAATATATTTTATTTCTATAGCGCTTTTCTTGAACCCAAAGACGCTTTACATTTGGGAGGGAGGGTAGACAAACAAAACAAAAACAAAGCCAAAAAGAAACAAAACAAAACAGAAAAGCAGTCAGGAGGAAGTTGATTGAGAGGGGGGGGGGGCTTATGGATACAGAGTTGAAGAGGTGGGTTTTGAGGCGGGACTGGAACAGGGTGAGGGACTCAGACTCATGGAGGTATTGGGGGAGGGAGTTCCAGAGCTTCGGGGCTGCCACAGAGAAGGCTCTATCCCCGAAGCTCCGGAGTTTGGCCTTGGGGATGGAAAGCAAACCGGCTGAGGTGGATCTGAGGGACCGGGGTGGTTGGTAGAGGATGAGGAGGTCACCATCTGAGTCAGGTTAGTAATGCTCCATCACATGTTTTACATCTATTACAGGGTGAGTCTTAAACTGAAGCTTGACTTTAAAGCAACCCAACGAAAGTTTCATGTAAGTTTAGTTCTTTCACTCGTAGCTCGGGCTGCGGGGGTGCTAGAGACGGGAGCACGTTGATGCGACCTTCCTAGCCGGAGATATGGGTGTATTTTACAATAAACTTCAGTTGGGTCGCTTAAAAACAACTATCGCAATATCTGTCAGAAAAATCGCAATTAGATTATTTCCTGGTTTTGTTATTCTCATGTGGGGAATAAGAACAGCAATAAAGACCGCCATTAAAGTGCCTGTATGCAAGTGACTGTTATTTTGTATTGATTGATTGTTGTGCTTTTATTTAGGTCTTAGTGTGTGCATAAGTATAAATGTGTCTTTTTGATTGTGTATATATATATATATATTAGGGCTGTCAAACGATTACAATTTTTAATCAGATTAATCACAGCTTAAAAATTAATTAATCATGATTAATCACCATTCGAACTATGTCCAAAATATGCCATTTATTTATGTATATTGTTGTGTGAATGGAAAGATAAATGAAAGAAGGCGGATATATCCATTTAACATACAGTATCTATGTTTATTATAACCAGGGCTGCACATAACTGGTGCGCAGGTGCGCATGCGCACCTCCGCCAAAAAAAGAGCACCGGGTCATTTGAAACAAAGCGCATTTGCGTACCAAAGAGAGAGAGAGAGAGAGAGAGAAAGAAAGAAAGATATTTGCGAGTTGCATATGAACCATGATATGAACTCAGGGCCGGCCCGTAGCACTGGCTAGATGTTCGCCTAGGGCGCCAGATCTGGGGAGTCGCTGCTCTGGCAGGGAAAAAAACATTTTGACCGTTGGGGCTCATCCTAATTTTCGGCCTTGATGTAACAATATTCATAATTAAGTAAATGTAACACCCTTTTCACCCCGGTTACACGTTTCATTTGCCCTGTACTGATGGGCGCTGTAAGTGATGAAAATGGGGGATGTTGGCTTATCTGGCGCCCGCAGCTCACAGCCAAAATGCGAGGGAGAGAGGGAGGGTGCACCGGTACCAGCGCTGTTGTTATTAGAATCTGGTGCTAGCTGCTCTAACGGATATAAGAAGAAGATGTTTCTACAATAATGTGGAGGGAGAGTCCTCTCCAGTCAGACTGAGAGGCTGATACTACAGCTCAGTGAGGTAAGGATTCTTAGTCTAAGTTCAAACGGTTTGGTCACAATTTATGTAAACACATATTTTCAAGGCACTCCTTTATAATTATTGGGATAAACAGGTTTCAAATCATTCCAATGTATACTATAGGACAGTAAACCAAAAATATCCTTTAAAACTGGAGAGATAAAAAACAAATGCATAAATAAATAAATGTTAAGGTAAAATAAGATATGAATGAACAACACAAATAAAATAAGTTACATTAATTTGTTATTGGCTATGGTAGGTTATTGGTTATGTTCACATAGTTATTTGATTACATCCACTTGTCTAAGATGACAACAGAGACTTTCGACCCAAAACCAGCTGTTGACTTGTGGATGCAAGCAGCTAATCACAGACTCAACCAGAGAGGAAGAAGTAGGCCCACATCATCAGCTACCATGTCTGACAGAGAGGAAGACAGTGAGGAGAACAGTCAGGAGGGTAGTGATGACAGCTTGTAGGATTACTGGTCGTGCTAATGTTGTCTTGGGTTCACCTCTGCATGTGTGTTCTGTGTTCACCTCTGCATGTGTGTTCTGTGTTCACCTCTGCATGTGTGTTCTGTGTTCACCTCTGCATGTGTGTTCAGTGCCGTGTGTCTGGCAAATAAAGTCAAAACCCCTTCAAAACTTACGGTTTATTTCATTTTAAGGATGAGCACCAAGCAACATCTCCAGGTGCTCCTTTGAGAACCAGGGCAAAAAAGTTATGTGCACCCCTGGTTATAACATGTTTCTGCGTGTCAAAATGAAAGACAACCCACACACCTATCAATCATCAAACCGTGGGGTCTTAATTCATTACGTGTTGATTTCTATCAATGGGGGAGTACTTCAGTAAAGTCGACAGAGGGGGGGGGGGGGGCTAGTGGAGTACTTTGTGACCACAGAGTGTGAACGTTGTGATCAGCTGTTTTAGCGCAGTTCTCCAGTGAAGGGGGGGGGGGGGGGAAGTCTCCCTCCGCAGCCGGTTGGCGTCGTTTTGGCACAATTCCGTTGTACAGACCGACGTTAACAGCAGCCCTGTCTGTGCACACGGAGACCGACTCTGTCGTCCGGTGATCTAACCGCCTTCTGGAAAAGCTTCACAAGTACGTCGGTACGCAAATGCGCTTTGTGACACAAGTGACGGTACGCATTTCAGATTACGCACATAACCTGCGTACCAGTTATGTGCACCCCTGTACTACAGCAAAAGTATTCTCCGTCGGGACTTCCTGCAACAACACCACGCCGTTATCAAAGATGTTCTATTGAGGAGACGATCACTACGTGACAAAAGTTTTCAAAACCGTGGCTACTGAAATCAATCTTACTAACTGCTGTCTGTGCAATTTACTCCGCGCGAGTTGGCAGACTTTATTTCGTTTACTTTAACATCATTTGTCATGGTGGGGCTAAGCCATTTCTTGGTATGGGTGTAGCCTACCCCAGCCATACCCTGGCGCTGCCACTGGTGGCACGTATGGGGCGGGCCATTCTGCACATGCGTTAAATATTTTAACGCAATTAATTCAAAAAATTAATTACCGCCGTTAACGCGATAATTTTGACAGCACTAATATATATATATATATATATATATATATATGCAGGTATATACATATTTGCATACATGTTTTTTATATATATTTGTTTTTGTATTCAGGATTGTGGGAAACGGTATTTAGATCCCTCTGTCTGTACACACAAACTGAAAGATTGACAATAAAGTTGACTTTGAAGTGGTGGTGACTAAATACTGAAGAGAACTAAAACCCAGAATTAAGTTCTTATCATGCGATACCCATATGCAGTCACACCTAAATCAAGCTATACAGACACTTACTTAATGGTTTAAAGATTACCCTTAGATTAGATTAGATTTAGAGGCATGTTGACTATGACCAGCAAAGTGTTGGGCAACACAGAAACTGCAGCGTGCAGATATTATTTATAGCGGATACACTATCTTGTTGCTAACTATATCATATGCATAGTGCAACCCATGCATATAAAGCTTCTAGGAACCAAGGGGATCTTAAGGTCTGCTTTTTGTGTGACTCACAGTTCAAAACCCAGTTTCATCCCACAGGCCATAAGACTGTGAAGCACCTGAACTTTTGAAAGAACATCCATAACATTCATCTGTTTGCAACTTACAAATGATTTATCTAATATATCATATTCCAATTACTTGTATGTAGACTCTCCTTGCACTATTTCTATTCTATTTTATTTGTATTTACTTGCACTATTTTAACTATTTTATTGTGTTGCACTGTTGGAGGAGTCTGTGACCTAAGATTTTCATTGATATATCTACACTAGCTAACATGACAATAAAAGCCTTGAATCTTGAAATGCAGTTTCCTATCATACAAGACTTGAGTGGTCCGTTGCCTCCATCAGAAGCGAGTGGTAGGAGTGTCACATGTCAGTGTGAACGGAGGAGGCCATGCGTACCTGGCAGGTTCTGCAGGTTTCCCCCCGGTCCCAGCCACAGTCTGAGCCGCAGTGTCCTGTGAAGGGGGGGCTGCCGCTCAGCAGGATGTAGAGGATGACCCCGAGGCTCCAGAGGTCGCAGCGTTTGTCGTAGAAAGAGGCCTCGTCGGTGAACACCTCCACGACTTCTGGAGCCATGTACTCTGCCGAGCCACACTGAGGGAGGAAAGAAGTAAAGATCTTTACTCTGGCTTCCTGTCGAAGATGAATTTACTTCAAAATACTGCTGCTGGTTTCATAAAGCATTGAATGATTTATGCGACATTATGAACCATCAAGAACCCTCAGGTCTTCTGGGTCTTCTTTTATCCCAGAGTTAAAATATAAACATGGAGAATCATCGGTGAGTTATTGTACTCCATATATCTGGACTAAACCATCAGAAAACGGCTTTAACTCTCACTTCTTTTAGATCAACGCTGAAGACCTTTTCCTTTTTGCTGCTGCGGTTTATTACATCAAATAACTATTCATATCCTACACTGCACTGTTGCTTTTATTCTTGTATTTCATACCAGTCTTATTCTTATTTAAACCATTTTAATTGTGTTATCACTTGGCTTTTAATGACTGTTTTTAGATGTCATTTCTTAAAATGTTTTTGTAAAGCAATTTGAGTTCATCGTAGTTGAAATGTGCTACATTTAAGCAATCTATAGGTGTGTGTGTGTGTGTGTGTGTGTGTGTGTGTGTGTGTGTGTATAGACTGTTACCGGGGTGGTGAGCTCTGGAGTGGTGATGGGGGTACAGGCACTGCTGAGCTTCACTCCACTCCCCAAGTCAAAATCACAGATCTTTACTGGGGACACCTGAGGGAAAAAACCATGATATTCTTATTCCTCTAGCAACAACTCATGTCCTTCTGATAGCTGCCTGTCATTTAAAAAGCCACTTACCCGATCGGTGTATTCACAAAGGATGTTCTCTAGCTTAAGGTCTCTATGGGCAATGCCTGCAGAAAAGAACATTGTTACCATGACAAAATGAAAAATAGAAGTCTGCAGCTTGTCTCTGGACTTTCACAGGAAAGCTGATTGGATGTCGGCAAACCTTTAGTGTGTAGGAAGTCCAGAGCTTGGGCGATGTCCCTGACGACCTTACTGGCCTCCAGCTCGTCAAAGTACTTCCTGTTCTGGATGTGTGTCAGAATGGAGCCTTAATGAAGAGAAGACAAGCAGTGTGTTTGTAATAAATCATATGAAGAGCCCAGAGTACACCGATGTAATTGTTGAGCTATTTATTTACACTTACCACCACGCAGCTTTTCAAACACCAAATAAAAGCAGGAGTCGTCCTCGAAGAACTGGATCAATTCCAAAATGTTTCTGAATCAAGATATTTACAAATATTAGAATATTTTTCATTCTATGTTGTTTTGTAATGTAGGTTAAAAAAAATTATAAAATGCACTCACTTGTTTCCTTGACACTGGTAGAGAGTCTCTACTTCTCTAAAGACTCTGCTGCGACTGTGCCCGGCACTCTTTTCTACAATCTTTGAAACACAAAACATTAAAAAAAAATTAAAAGTCTTAGCATTTATGCAAACCCAGGCATGATTTACTTTATCTATGCTATACTCTACTGTGTCATACTATGCTATTTTGTCATACTGTCTTTCCACATTAATAACTATATCATATTTCCAATTTTTCTATATAGATTTAAACAAAACAAACTTTATTAACTTAATCACAGATAAGGTTTTAACTGAATACGGTCATTCAGCGTTTCCGCCAGGGGGGCGTCTTGCCGTCATTTGACGCCCTTAAACTCGGAACGCCCTGAACTCGAGCCGAGGGCGTCCAAAAAAAAAATAATTCGAGAGAAGATCGAGTTTTTATCGCTTGAAATGACGAAAAGGACAAGGACATCCCTCTGTGGGAGGGGCAAAGGAGTCTGGTGGGATTATTTTTGCCGCCACAAAGCGTGTTCCTGTGACGGAAAGCGTACTGCCGGCGAGCCTTGACGGGGGGTGCTAGTGGAGCACGCGCGTGAACTGCGAGCGCCGGAGCCTCGCAGCGGCGAAACTGAGGCTCCGTGGTAAAATGAAGATATTATATATTTATGCATTGTGTGTATTATTAATGGAACATTTGTATATTATGTATTGCTCAAATAATTTTAAATAAAGTTTTCAACAACTTGGGGTGGACGCCCTCAGCCCTGGTCTGGCGGAAACGCTGCGGTCATTGCTGTATACAGTGGTATGAAAGGTTATAGTACCAATAAAATGTGCCTATTTTAGGTATTGAAAGGTAACAACATGGGCTTATCTAATCTTATTATTTACTTAACATATTCCTAACATTAGATCCTTTGATCTAGATTCTGTGTGTAGGTTGCCAGAATTTGATAACGGTTGTGTTATTATGGAAGAGCAGGACACATCCATAACACAATAAAACACAGGACAACAAGAACAGAAAGTGCATACAAAGAGCCATCTAAGAATTTTCTAAATCATAAAAGGAAATGTCTGACTTTGTTACAAACAGAATATTCTCACTCACCTTCACAGCAAACTCATGTCCATTCTGCAGACTTATGCATCCCTGAACTTTAGCAAAAGCCCCCCGACCGAGCACCTCATCCGTCAGTTTGTAGAGATCTGAAGAAAGAGTCACATATAAGACTGCAGAAGGGGTTTGTGTTATGGTTTTTGTACGTGTTACAATATGTTCAGCTTCATTACCATCAAAAGTGCCTGTGGAGCTGTCTGTCGCTCTGGTTCTTTTCTTCTTCTTTCTTTTAGCTGCATCTGGGATATTCACCGGCTGGCTTTTCTCAATTTCTGTAGCAACACAAAAGAAGTGGAAGCAAATGAGTAAAAACAGCACCGACTTTGCCAGTGGGTTACTTACTGTATGCACCATTAGTTTCAGTAGTTCCAGAGCTGTTCTGAACCATAGAGCTGTCGTACCTGCTGGGCCCTGGGAGAGGGGCTGTCTCTGCTCTGAAACGACCCCGTTCTCCTGAGCTGCCTCACAGCTCTGCCCCACTTGGCCCACAGCCAGGGAGTTACCCTGAAACACAGAGAAGAGGCCGCATGATAGGGGGAAGAGAGGGAGGGGAAAGTGAGAGTGAAGCCAGAGAGATCCATGGTGGTACAGTGGAGAAAACACGCGAAGAAATACATTATTCTCTGACTGTTTTCACTGTTAAACTTTGAAAACGCTTTCCACTAACACACCTTCTCTGACAAAAGTGATATACTTTCATTATCGGAAAAATTACTACTATTCCAACTATCTAATCTTATCTTTTCACCTGTGGCAACCTGCCAACACAGTGAGCTGTTGAGAATACAGGAAGACACATGCCTTATCTCACCCTGGATATTAGCGGAGACTCATAGAGAATGATGAAACTTCAATATTTCGGTAAAGTTGATAACCTTGTGTGTAAAAAAACTTCCTGGAAACTTGACAGTTTCCATCACATGTTGGGGGAAGTTAAATGTTGAGAAAGCACCAGTGTTCAAAGCTGAAAGTGTCTTACCTGGAGAGAGTGCTGGAAGGTTTGCAACTCTGTCATCATGCTGTGCCTCACCATGTCTGCCAACTGAGAGCACATCACAAACACTGAGTTAGTCTGGAACAGCCTACATCAGAAGAGACAGAGATATTTAGTGAACACGATGAAAAGTAGTTTAAAACTGGTGGGAAGTCAGAGAATTTGATCAATGAAAAGAAAAAAAACGGTTTCCCCTTTCTGTTAAAATGTTGTTTTGGTTTGTTCGAGGATAAACAATAACATAATAAAGTTAATGTTGATTAGCTTTAGCTTTCTAACAAGTAAAAGATATGTATTAGTCTTCTGTTCGCTTTTTTTTATCCTACGTGATAAAAGCTAGAAGTAATAGGATGTACATATTTCGCTTACTGTTTATGTCCTAAAACTTGGTTAGTTACCAAGTGTTTACTGACAGCCAGCAATGCAGCCACATTGTTAACCTACTTAACATTAGCACTGTTGTTACACATATAGACACCATTAACAAGAGGAAACAATGCGTACAACATTAACAATACCATCATGTAAACTAGAGTTAGCGTATACCGCTGACTCTTTGTTTAACCCGGTGTTATTGTCATTAGCTGGGGCTAGCTATTAGGTGCTAAACTAGGTTTTCTATACGATTTACGCTAATTCAATAGTTTGTAATTTAAAAAACAGTGAAGTTTTAGTCAAAACGAAAACATACATGCTATAAAACCCTTCTCACCTGCCCTCTGTGTCCAAACCAGCCGAATCCCGTATGTCAAAGCGTCTCACAGCTGATGTAAGCATCCATCGCTAGCTGACATCCATCAAACACACAGCAGTGACGCGGAGGGCGGGAAATAACACTAGCAGATGTATTCCCCGCCCCTTTCTGAAGATCCGCTTCTCCCATTGGTCGAAAATAGGGATATCACTTCTACGTCACCTCGCTTGACTGCCCGCCGCACCCCAATCCACGTACGAGATCTTTTAATACATCAGTGACGTAATGGGGATTTTGTGTGCATGATGTGGCATTTATTTACAAATGCAGAGGTTTGGCAGGTCAGCAGTATTTAGGAATTACGACTCATGGCACAAACCCACAACCTTTCATCATTATTATGTTTTTATAGTTTATACTTGTCTTCACTTATGTGGTACAATTCTTGGTTTAAACCAGAATATAGACCTACTAAACCGGTAAAGAAAGTATCTTATTGTAAATCGCTTTGGATAAAAGCGTCAGCTAAATGCCAATGTAATGTATGAGAATACATTTCCTTTTGATATATTTTCAATTTCAGAGTTGACTGATGATGACAGGAACTAAAAACTAAATGTTAATCCAATGATTTGTACACATTTTTGTGGTGCGGTAAACAAAAAAAACACATTTTCAAAACCATTTACTGTTTTTAGGCTGCTTTATGTTCAAAGTATTGAAAAAGACATCACATAAAATACAAACATTCATTCAACAAAACAAGATCCAACACTGTATTTAAAAAGGCGAAACATACATGCACAGGACGGAAACAAAATTAGTACATGAAATGTATTATAAACCAAAACACAAAGTCCTAAGATAATGTCATCAAACAGTAAACAAGTAAAACATCTCTTGGTACAAGGCCACCATGTGAAGAAGTGTGGTATTAAGTTGATACTCTGAGTAGCTTAAAAACTACTCATACAACTTTATGTAAAAGTGTTCATTGTTGAGAGATTTTTTGATGCTGACGATTTCTAACGGGGCTCAGATAACGTGCAAATGTAAACTCATTTTGTCCATTTGGTTTTATTTAGTTGCATATCTTCTCTGTCATCTCCTTCTGAAAAGAAAAGAAAAGGACATGTTTAACACATCACATTAATACTGTACAATAAGATCAATGATTGTTATGAAATTCAATATACTCTTTTAATTAACATTATTAGTTATTGTGGTTTTCAGCTATCAAAGCAACAACTGCAGAGCTGCATTACAGTACGTGCTACAGACGGATAAAACAGAGTATTGCCATTAAATATTTTCTGTAGTAGTGTGGTACATCAATTTCTCATCCCTGTTTCCCTCTGAGATGGAATTACACAGCCCACGCTCCATAATGACGATAACTGAAGCCTTTTATTGAAGCTTAGAGCACAATGCTCTATTTGCTCATTTGTGATGGAGGTAGATTTGTTGGAAAAAGGAAACCAATATTAAAACTACCTCATTACATGACTGCACAAAGTCAGCTACTTTTCTTTTAAGACATTTTGCTTCAAATTCAAACATTTGCTATAAAGTAGGTCATATTTTTCATTAAGAAAAATCTGAAAACAATTCGTTTCTAATGCAAAATTACTGTAATCCAAGAAGAGGAAGTCTATGTGTTTCAGACCAAAATATTTAGTTTTTTTTCCTTTTGCCCGCATGTGCACAAGCTGGGGAAACCCACTGACATTAGGATAAATCAAAACATCATCCAACAAGCTGCACATTAATTCATCAATGGCACGGTGGCCGGTGACACTGACAGCCCTCCCAACTTGAATCATCCATCTGATCCTCTTTCTGCTGCTCCCTGTCGTCACCCTCACATATTATAATAACGTTGCTCTTTTGTCTCACCAGCGGCTCCAGTTCAGAGTGATCAATGAGGTTGAACTCTGAGATGAAGTAGTAGTAGTGCTTGTAGCAGGTATTGATGTGGGCCTCTGCGCCCATGCTGCAGATGCTGTCAAAGTGATGGATGTAAACATGCACAAACACCCGGAATAGACGGCTCAGGATCTTCTTGCACACCTGCTGGAAGTTCTTTGGGAAGGGTACACCTGTTGTGAAGAAAGGAGAGATGTGTTACACTAATGAGAAATTGTTTCATTGAATGTTAATCAAAACAGTAATCGATTTCTACACCATTACATTTTTTTTTTTGCAGATGTTATATTCTGTAAGTAATGTGATTTCCCTTCAACAGCATCAGTCATTGAGTGCTAGGCAGTGTCTTAATGAAATCAGATTTTCATGGACAATGTATTAATGTGACATGAAGTTATCCTGACACAGCCTACTTTCCATTAATGGCTCAAAAAAAGTGGATATAAAAGAAAAAAGATATAACCTTCTCTTATATCTAATCTTATGTTATCACCTTTTTTAATATAACATTTAAAATTACACATTTTGTACCTGCAAGAGGCCCCAGTCACTCAGTCACTTACAGGTGCCATAGAGTGTCATATAAAACTGATAGAAGCCTATTTTACCTGAAACACTCTTTTACATTAACTGTTATTCAACCAAAAAATACAAATGTGTTTTCGAGGAAATGATGACGAATATGTGTTAGTGGATGTTTTGCAGATTTACTGGAAGATATGCAAAACCTGGAGAAAATTCCCACTGAATTGTTACAACAAGTATTGGGAAAAAAGTCTATTTGTTGCCCCTTCATGTGGTTGTAATACATAATGAAATCTACTGAATAAAAGAAAGGCACCATGCCTAAAATAACACATTTAAGGATCACTTTGTAGGATTGATGTGTCATGAAGCGACTTAAACCACTATGTTTTCTCAACAGTGAAAAACGAAAAGAAATCCTTTAAGTTATCGCATCTATGGAAGGGCTGTGTGGTTCGCCAGACAAAAACAGTTTGGTAGCCATTGTTCTGTTTCTCTATCCACTCATTTTCTGTCCCTATTTATTCCTGCTGAGGCTCATGAATTGTGCACATACAGTACACACTGGGTACATTCTAGGGAAACACCCTTTTAAAATTGCGCATATATAGCCATTTCGACAGTTGGGCAATTTTGACTTATTATTTTGACTTGATTTCTGGTCTATTGACAGTAGTGGAAACCAGAACTCCCTGATGTAAGTCGTGTAAACTCCATGCAGAGACCTTTTTGATTCTCTCCTCCATTATGCTAATTGTCAAATCTGGTGCTGAGATAAAATACCACCTGAAGCGCACATGCAATCTCCTCTAAATGTCAAGCTCATTGTTTAATTAACCTCTGCTTGAACTTGTCGTCCCATGTGAGATGTTAATGAAGGGGAACAGCATTGTCGGCAGCAATCAGTCATGTATTATGTTACACACTCAATAATAGCCTTCATTTGTAGACTCCTCACACACCTACTCTGGTGGGGAAGATGTTTTCATTATTGATGAGCGACTCTATCCAGTCCATCAGCAGGTTCATGTACTTGAGCGCGGGCAGCTTGGTGGGTTTCTTGTAGTCGCCACCGTCCTGCCACCTGTACTCGTACCTCAGCCCGCCAGACATGATGGGACACGTGCGCTCGGAGCAGTATTCGCTCACCGTGCCATAGATCAGGTTGATCCTGTTGAAGAAATCCACCACATGAACTGCGACCCAGTCGCTGATGTTCTCTCCCTCTGGCAGCTGGACCACTTTCCTCAGGTCTAAGCCGGACTTGAGCGAGGCCTGGGCCTTCTTGTAGAGTTCAAAGCGCTGGGTGCCCGGTTCAAACCTCTTCCTGGGCCTGAATGTCTTGTCTTTGCTGAACACTTGTCCAAGGCACAACGCCATTGACTCCCCTCAGATAAGGGGAGAATGAGCTCTCCAGAATAACAAGCAGTTTTTGAGGATAAAGAGGGGCCTTCCTGAGAGATGGAAACCAGACTCGGAAATCAGGTCACGGGAGGTCAGCGTCTGTCATGTAAAGATTGCAGGGAGCAGTTGTTTGCTGTGAAGAAGAAGAACAACATAAGAAGTCAGAGGCCTTTTCACTTGCTGTCAATCCACTGCTTCAGGTCAGTGACCACAAATGGCAGATGACCGAAACAACCAAGCAGAACATATCATTGTTAGATTGTTTTCAAAGAGGCCAAACAAACCGTGAAGTAATTTCCCAAACATTTGCAAGTACTAGATCATTGAGATGACACATACTATGCTGCAGCACAAAACACTGTGACCCATCTCAAATGTGTAATTATTGCATCCACTGCTCGGTGTGGCCAAGAAGATCATATCATAAGACTTTCAATGGCACCCATGGAAAAACATAGCAACAGTTTCAATCAATTATATTTGAGTGTTGTATGTTTTTGTAATAATGGACCAAGAGTCTCTTTAAATAAAAGATGATGAATCGGATGTTGTAAAATCTCATGTCACTAAGGTCAAGCATAATTTAGAAAATGAATGGCATGCTGCGACAACCATTTCTAAAGAGCAGCATGAGAGAAAATAGTCCACAGTTAATGCTCTGCTCAGACGCAGATCATGACGGATGAAAATAAAGAAACTTGAGGTTTGCTGTGTGACAACTAATGGAGAGCACAGTGTCGGTTCCCCGTTTTGGAAACTAGTTTTGGAATTAAAAAGACGCCCAAAATATGATTGAAAAGTGATTTAGTTTTTTTCTAATAGCTATTTACCATCTGGCAGATGATTCACATGGTTCAGGAGCATGCCCTCACTACATATTATGTAATTCACAGCTTTTATTGTTATGATTGTAAAAGATAATGTTTGAATATAGATTAGTATAGGAAAATAAGGTGGGCGGTTTTTTAGTAATAAATTCAGGGTCAACGGGTTACATTTAATTGTTTTACACTCCACTCAGTTGTTTGTTTCCATTCGGTTATTTCTCCCTGTACACAAACTAGCTCGGATCAGTCATTAGCCCGCATGGTTTTTCTTACCACTGCTACGCTGACGACACCCAATTAATTCTGTCCTTTCCCCGCTCAGAGACCCAGGTCGTCGCACGCATCTCTGCTTGTCTAGCTGACATCTCTCAGTGGATGTCTGCTCATCACCTCAAGCTCAACCTTGACAAGACTGAGCTGCTCTTCCTCCCGGGAAAA